AATTGTACACGTTTTTTTCTACATCCCCTTAGAGATGGGACATACAAAATCGTAATATCACCGGTTTAACATTGAAATCTGTGAGTAATATAAAATCGGAGGGCGGAATAAAAATATAAAATATTTTAATGGATTTTTAAAACTCCCATCAACTATACAGAACTATCGTAAAAACATACCAGTAAATTCTTATCGGTTGGGTTAAGTTATAAATCTACTTGTTATTCACGTAATCGGCCAAATATCTAGTGGGTGGGCGGCTAACAGCCCAGAACTGGTCCCAGATAGAATTAGAAGTGTTATACGTGTAGCATCAACCCAAGGTCGTAGGCTTCAGTGGCTAAACCGGGTGAGGTTGGTGCTGTGTAAAGCACATGCGCAAATCTGGCTTTTTGGAATCTGACAATACAGAGATTCCCTTCTGCCACTAATATTCGAATATACAATAGCAATCTTTTTTTTTTTCACGTGTATAGAAATTTGTAATAAGATACATAATGCGGTTATAATAAAATATTGTGCAATTATTTTTGTATAATTAAGGGCTTGTGCACATTAGGCGTTTTGCGTTGCGTTAAATGCGCGTTAGCGGCATACACACCGCACGTTAGCTCAGCGTTCAACGATCGTTTAGTGGAGCATTAGCACTGGCTCAGTTTGGAAATGGACGTGAAAGTAATTGCTTGTGTGTGCCTCCTCCATCGTCGCTATAAAAGACGATGGCAGAGGCAAAGAGAATTTTGGGTGCACCCAATATTATGAGATAGACTGACGCATAGAATGTTTCTGATGTTGTATCCAAAACTAAGATAATATGAACCCAAATTTTTTAATTCTTTTAAAATATCTATAAAATCATTTGACGATGGCTGGTCTCTTTTAGATTTCATCAATAAATAGATCATAGAACATGGCAGCACATATATCTCAAAATGCATGGCTGACGTCCATAAAATGTGTGTTTTAACAAAAATCTGTGCGCGTGCTTGGTCAAAAGTGCACGTTTGAGTATGTATGCCTATGCAGAACTCTTGATTCTTTAAACGTGCATTACCAAAACACCTAATGTGTACACAGCCTTAAACTAATATGTATTTATTTTTTTATAAAATACAAGGAAAGCGGCACTTCCACCGCTTCTAATGATGGCACACCACTGGTAAACATGAAAGCGCGCAGCTATTTAAAAAATACATACACATGTAATTATTTTTTTTTAAATTAAATTCATGCATGGATAATCCACACATGGATAATCGGGAGTTTACTGTATAGATTATTCAACATAATTCCACAACCTAAAAAGTTTTTTTTTTCTTTTAGTCAAATTTGCAGAGCAATTTTGCATAGACATTTTGTCAAAAAGATTCATTTTATGATTCATGTGATCATTCTATTCTGATCATGTGCTATCTTGTTTACACAGTATTACACAACCCATTATATACAAGGTCTGTTCAAAAAGTATTGGAACTTTTTTTTTCCGCGTAAACCAATGATGCACGACAGGCCTCCTTCAGTGGAGTTGTGGAGGGGACAGTCATGCACAACCCTGAATTTTTTCCCGCCTGCAGGAAGCGTCAGTCGTTGGGAATCGGCCTATGAGTGAGGTCATGTAGTGCGCTCTCGTCGGATTTCACTAAGCTGGAAAATGACTGAATAACGTGAGCAGCGATATTACATCAAATTTTGCCAAAAACCTTGGCGATACCCGAGCATAAACCATTCGCAAGATTCAGCAGGCTTTCGGGGACGATCCTCGAGGCCAAAAAAAGCGCGGCAGGTCCGCAGCAATATCAAAGGTCATGTTGACAGTTTTTTCGACTCTCGTGGGGTGGTGTGTCGTGAGTACGCACCACAAGGCCAAACCATCGCAAAGGAGTACTACCAGGAGGTCCTTCGTCGTCTTTCCGATACAGTGCGACGCAAACGATCGGATCTGTGGTCGATCAAAACTTGGCAGCTCCATCGTGATAACGCATCCGCCCATTCTGCGCATCTGATTCGGGCTTTCGTCGCCAAACATAACACTCCTGTGGTTCGTCACACTCCGTACTCTCCCCATATGGCTCTGTGTGACCTTTGGCTATTTCCCAAGCTGAAAATGCTGCTAAAAGGAACCCGAATTTAGTCGAGAGAAGACATCGTGCAAAATCCGACGGAGCGGCTGATGGCCATTCCAAAAGATGCGTTCCAGCAGTGTTTCCAGCAATGGCAGGAACGCTGGGAGAAGTGTATACATTACCAAGGAGACTACTTTGAAGGGGATTAGGGTTTTGTACCTCAAAGTCAATAAATTTATTTTTACCGACCAAAGGTCCGATACTTTTTGAACAGACCTTGTATTATGATGATAAATATTAAGTTGAATATCATTAATCTTAAGCAAAATTTTTAATTGATGTTGTGTACTTAAATGTGTTTTGAAATTTATCAATTATTATTTGTAATGTAAACTATGAAGCAACAGTTGTAATGGTAGCACATTCAAGTAGGCAAAATTAATTTTTCTCGTAAGTTGAAAAATTAATTCATTAGAAAGTTGAATTGCTGCTACTTTATTTGATTCAAGCCAACTCTGACAAATGATATATTTCTTTTTCATTAATTTTTTACTGTATACTCTGCAATGTAGATTAAGTGTATCATAAAAATGTTCTTATTTTGAATTCCAATAATCATTGAGTTATTAAAACATTGTTAATGGCCATAAATAATTTGATATATCAGTTGAGTTTTTATATAATGATAATTAGAATTATATTTTTTGTATTAAATAAAATTACATTTTAAATTATAAAAATATTTCATAATTGACTAATCTCTTGTTTTGTCATTTTCTTTCATAAACTCTTAAGATGTATGAAGTTTGCTTATGATTTGGTTTATTCTGGTATGCATTAAATATAAATTTTGTTGGTATAGCTTTGCTTTGAATTGTCATTTTATTAGTAGATGATTGAAGACAAAACAATTTTTGTCAAAATGTATGAAACCAATTTGTGTTCTACTTTTAGGTTTAAAATCTTTCTTTTGCTTTTTTTTACTAGCCAGTTCTTCTTCATATTATTATTATAGTATATCCAAATGCACACGTGGCACAGGCATTTTCATTTGTTATTCACTTTATTCATAATAAGATGAATAACTCTATGGATAACAACTATGCTGATCATGTGCTATCTTGTTTACACGGTATTACATAACCCTTTATATCATATGAATAGACCTCATTGTCACACTTTTTTTTTCAACAGAGTGAGAAATAAGTTTCCACAGTCTGTTAAGGAGAACCATATTTACCAGAGTTCTAGACCTGAACCATTCTGGTCATTATAGAACTGTCATGGAAAATAATGCATGGCAATATTTTGCTGTTCTGATTATCCACATGAGCATTACATTCTGTGTATGTTAGTTCATGGCATAATATGCTCTATGTAATGGAAATCTTGCTGGAGATAATTTTACTTATTTGTCTGTAAATAGAATCTTAATTTTCCACTTTTATCCAAGTTAAGTTCTTTGTATCCAAAAATCCTCTTTGTTTTTTACTGTATTGCACTATTCACTAGTACATGGAAAACTGCTAGTTTTTCATTTGTTTCTGACTTTTGGAGGCTTAATAAATCCTGAGTATGTAGACTGGTATAAAAATTAAGAAAGAGGTAAACAGGTTAACATAAAGAAAAACACTTTTATTTTAATAAATATACTAAAATTGAATCCTCTTTGTTTCAGTCTTGGACAGGTTTCTTTCTTCTTTTGTAAAATTTAATGTAGAAAAATCACTCTTCCAGAGAATTTTTTCCATTTAAACAGGTTTTACTGTATTTTTGTAATAAATTACTCATTTTTGTATGTGTATATTGTATAGAAAAAAAGGAATACCTCTTTCTGCTATTTTGTTAGAGTATTGTTTTAATTCATAATCAATGTAAGTGATACTGTTAGCATTGACATAAAACAGTACTTCCTTGTAATTTTTTTAAATGTATAATTAAATTAGAAGCATATTGTATGATGATATATTTGGAATTAATTTTTATAGAGGTAACAGATACTGATCCAACATCAATATAATGCAAATGTTTATTCAGACAATAAGTGTTCTATTTTTACTGGATTTAAGGGTTGCTTGATATTTAATTTTAATCCATATATCATCATATAGGAATGCTTTCATTCTGTTGATTCATTTAAAAACTGATACTCGTATTTTGCCATGGCAGGCATTTAAACATGACAATGGCCATACCATGCTGTAAAACTAATTCACAGTAGATTGTTCTCTTATGGGATTTGTCACTTATGGTCACATGATGTATGGCTGTTTTCTTTTGGCAAGTGCTAATTTGGTAGGGAGCACTGCCTTCTGGGAGACCAATTGTGAAAAGTTTTTAATACAATCAGGATAAGCACCTTCAGCTTATGCTATGATTAGTGAAAACTTGTGACCAAAGTGCATGGCCTAAGTTATCCATCTGATTTGTATTGTCTTTTTTAGACTGTCATTGCTCATGCAAAATCAGACAATTATTGTTATGTATATTCTGAAGATCTATAAATCACCAAACGATTGCCTAAATATCAGGCTATAATAAGGCTAATTAAATGATTGGTACAAAGAATCTATAGCATACCGTAGTATGCAGCATTGATATTTTGTTCTTAGATTTGTTAATATAACTAAATTAGTTGTTGCATTGTTTAGGTAAGGTTTCTTTTCTTTATTTTAACACATGCACACTTTTACTCGCTACTTTCAGCAAATGTTTAATAAACATTACATAAATGGAAGAAAACAAATGTTTTTGGCTGCTTTAGTGGCACCCTCAAGTTTTTATAACCTGATATGGATAACAGCAAGTATCAGTATTAAATTGGATAAGTTGGAAAGTTATTGGTATTGGATTATATTGTACAGAATTTAATATCTATCATCATAAAAAATTTTTGTATATAATTAAAATCATTCAATGCATGTTTTTTCTTTTTAGGTGTAGGAAAGAGTAGCTTATTATTAAGATTTGCTGATAATACATTTTCAGGTAAGCAATTTAATTAACATAATAAAATAAAATGAAAAATATGATAAAAGTCAATAACATATTAAACTAACTGCATTAAATAAAACTTTCTCCATTTATGTTTTACTGTTTATTAATTTCAGTTAAATATAAGATCCTGTTTCAAATCTCTGTATATAACATGAGATTATTTATATCCTGTGTAGATTCCTATTATATCATCCTGTGAAATAGGAATAATTCAAATCTGCATTGTTAATCAGGTTAACTAAATAGTAAACATAGAACACACAGAGAAAGTTTTTATTAAAAATATCTGTTGAAATTCAGTGGGAACATATAACAATAAGACAAATGCTGTTTTCTACTAATGGAAACTTGATACATATAAACCCTAAAATAACACCTTTAATACCTTAGTTAATGCAAATTGTTTGATTTTCATTCTGAATATTGGAATGTTAATTAGTTGACTTGATAAAGATCTGAGTATTAGATTGAAAATGTTTGTCAGTTTTATTATTGTTTTGTACTGTAGAATTAAGGTAATGTGTTATTTTAGAGTAATAGACAAAAATAGTATTTTGTTAATGCCTTTAGAGTCTGTATAATGGTAGAATTTCTGTTCCAGTGGTTCTCAAAGTTACATGGTCTGCATAATATCTTTTAGAAGCTGGACACTTTAATCTACTCACCAAAAAATCTTTTATTCCAGCCAGGAGTTTAATTTTTCATGTAAATTTGGACAAGCATTTTTGACTTAATTATAAGTCTGCTTCAAGTCTCTAATTTTTGTTTTACTTTGGAATTTGTTGTTTAAATCTTGTAATGTAGTTCAAAAAACATATATGATGTTTTCAGCATAAGTGCCTAACTATTCTGAATCAATGTTAAATATATTTGTGAAATTAAATATATATTTTATAAATCAACGCATATTACATGTCTCATCACACTCAATGAGATCCACCATCTTGGTTTTCACTCCTTTTTTTTTTTTTTTTCAATGTAATATTTGTGCTCTGTGATATGTTTATCTAGTGATCTGGTGTATCTGATATATACTAGATCACAATTAAATCTTTCATCTACTATCAGGATCCTATATATGCTTGGTACTCTCATTTTATTTATGAGATCTTTACAATTACAAGTTTATAAATTGATGGGTTTGTTTATTCTGTACGTAACTATGGTGCCTCTGTTTTTTGCTATTTCTTTATATACTGGGTGGAGTCTTTGCTCATGTTCTATTATTCTTCTAAGATTACCTGTGTTGGGGATTGTGATAAAGAAATACTGAAAACATTATATATGATTTTTGAACTGCATTCCAAGATTTAAAATTTATAGCGTTCTACAGCAAATTCCAAAATAGAATGAAAAATTGGAGACCTGAAGCAGACTTATTAGGTCAAAAAAATTTGTCCAAATTTACATGAAAAAAACTCCTGCTGGTTGGAATAAAAGATTTTTGATGAATAGTTACATGGTCTATGGACTACTTGAACCAGATTAGACATGGTGGCCATCCAGGTTCCCATTCATTTTGTATCCTATAAAAATCACTTTGGAAGTGTGCCAAAATATTTTATATATTCAGTAATCTAACATGAAATAAGTGGTGCATAAAATTTCATTTTAGAAAAACAACTAGGTCACTAGTAGAATCACTTAGCAGCATGTTTGCAGATCACCAGTAGTCCACAGACCAATGGTTCTCAAAGCATTATCTATATGTAAGAATTGTGATGTTATAAAATTCTTAAATTTTTTTGATAGAGTATAATTATTTTTAATACTGTAATAAATAAAGTTTATAGCATGTTTCAATTTCTTAAATTAATTTGTTCTTCTACATATAAATTAATAAGTACATGAAAATATAAGACATAACGAGCAGTTATTGTAACATCATCACAATGCTAGGCTGCAATTTTTTAATTTTTTTAATTTAAAATATATGCTCTCCATCTCAAATTATTACTGTAGTGCCCTGTACATCATACTTTCCATTAGCAATAGTCATGTCAGTCATTTAGCTAACTCGTTTCAGGGGAAAAGTTTTGAATTGAAATAATGGGACCTCCTGTCCCTGAGCTTTCTGTATCTGGTCTTAACATTCATCTATCTAACTCCATTCTCAAGATTAAGGAAAGACAGATGGACAGAATGTTGGACAACAGTGGGAATTTATAGGTTTACAATTTTTTTCAAATTGCAGTCCAACTAGAAGTTTTCAATTTTTTATATGCAATGTAATTAGTATTCTTTTCAAGAAAATCAAACAGCAGAAATAATAATGTACTAACATATTCAAGTATTTTAATATATGAATAAGGCTATTTTTGTTCATTTAAATCTAAAATTCATGACAAAATTTATTAAAAGCAATAAAGTGATTTGAAATGAACAGATGCTTTTTTTAAAATTGTATTTACTGCAGAAATTAAGGACAACCAGAACAATATCTGGCTACTGGAGAATGTTTTAGACTTTTGTGTTTAACTTTTTTACAATACTTAAGACAGTCAATAGCACCTGACAATTCCCTGTAGCTGATATTCATAAATGTCACAAAGCAGAATAATTTAATTTTACAAACTTGAAACAATAGCCTGTACCTCATTTATCATCATTTTTTACTTCTAGCAAATGAATGAATGAATTAACTAAACTCTAAACATTCCAAATAAATAAAAAACTTTCCACAGAACAAACATTTTTAAATACACAAATGCTTCACAATGGATTATCTAAACTTTCTTTTTGATGCATAAAAATGACATGCTCTTAGGTAGATTTTGTACTCTCTCTTCATAAGTAGTGAAATGAATTGCATTAAAAATATTTGTTTTGTAATAAAAATTTAAACATAATTATATGTAAACCAAGCTTGATTTATAGTAATGAACAATACTGAAAAATTTCTGTAATATGCTTCTCATCTAGTCTTGTGTTCAATTATACTAGCTCTATGATGGCTTTTCCTTTTTTGCTAGACTTATTACAGCTTGGTTTAATAAGTCTAGCAAAAAAGGAAAAGCCGTCATAGAGCTAGTATAATTGAATACTGAAAAATTTTAATTGGGCTGTAATATAGCTAATTAAAGTTATTACATAATTTGAGTCAAAAGTATGCAGGTAGTTTTGCATTTTGTGCTAAATTTAATAAGTAGAAGCAAATTAATTCTGAAAATTTTGGAAGAAAAGATTGTTCTAGAATGGAACTTGCACCCATAACTCCTGCTTACCATATAGATGCATTATCAATTTCATTACCTACACTTATGATATCCTCCAGACCAATTAGTTTAGAACAAGTGACAAACCTATAGTATGCATACCCAAAATAGCATGTAACATTATATGTTTTCAATTTATCACCTAATCTATTTTTTTCAATAAGCTTTTTTACATTATTCTAATTAAAGTATATTCACAACATTTTCATGAACTGGATTTTTGGTTGTGTAACACAACATTGGAGAAAAACATTTTTAATTGCTTTTAGCAATCGTCCTGAAGTTACAGAACTTATTTGGAAATGTATATGTGAACTGCCAGGGAGGTCGGAGGCCATCGTACCTCCCTTTCCAGCAACAGGTTGTTAAACCTCTTCACTTGTCAAGATGGCTAGTTGACGATTTATGGTTCCAAGGGTTGAGACTTCTCTTTTTGTTGGTCGAGCGTAGGGAGTATTCGGGGTCAACAACAAGACGAAGGCAGTATATGAGTAAAGGAGGATACCATGTAACCACTAAAACAAGTTTTATTAAAATAAACAAGATCGACATGAATTACAAATACTGATTTTGACGCTAGTATGCTTATGGGCTCGAGAGAGAGTTTACATCTCTCTCTCTCGAGCCCTTAAGCAGAGAGAGAGCATTTCTTTGTAGGTTTCCACTGCGATTCAAGTTTATTTATGGCAGCCAGATATCCAAGAATTGTTCTTAGGTATCCCAAATTGGCACAAGTATAAAAGTTTGCGACTGTGGCAATGGACAATATCAATTTTGGAGGTTTTGAGCTGTGGCGGGTTCGTAGATTCTCCTCAACAGTATTCAGTGGCGTTGGTCCGGCTTTTGTTAAGAGACTCCCCGAAGGGGGAAGGAAGCATCTTTTATAGCTTTGTGCTGGGAAAATTGGTCATGTGATCAATTGTTATAGGCGATGAAGGTTATAGGTGTTCCCGGGACCAAAACAAATGACGAAATTTGGATGCTAACTATAAACTTTCGTGCAAGTCGAGCTGCAGGCTGTGTAGGAACAATAGAATGTTGATAGTTATGGAAGGAGGGTTTCAAATGTTCTCAGCTAAGATTGTTTTCTAGCCAATCCGTTATATAACAGAAGTGGAATTAATTAAAATTTTAGGTTATAAAAATTCCGGATCTCTCGTATATCAGAACTGTGATCAATATATATTATATATTCTGTATAACAGAAATATATATTCTTATATACTTTATTATATGATTATATACCATATTTACTTGCATATATATAAGATGACCTTGCATGTAGGATGAGGTGTGACTTTAAAGATCAAAATAAAAAAAATCAGATTTATTATTACAATTTTAATTTTGTATAATCACAAGTAAAATATCAAATGAACATAAATGCACACATTGTCCTGCAAAAATTACTGGCATTTTAAACTTTAAGAAAAAATCTTGTAAGATGGACAACATAATTTGTTCATGTAAAGCTGGACAATTGGAAACCTTTTTTTGCCAATTCTTATCAGTCGAATCCACTCTCTGTTGATTATACTTATGAGTTTCTCCGAGTTCTGATTTTCGAATAATCATCTGTTCACGTGGGAATGGATTAGAACTTATTTTGGAATTTCAAGCTGGATTTCAATTCAAAAGCTTTGCTTTTCCTATTGCTATTCATCTTTATTCCTGACAGTATAAAAGAACGATTCAAACGACCCAGATAAAATACTTTTAAATTCAAGAGGGTAAGCATCTGGTAAGAAAATGCGAATACACAGTTCACAAAAATTATTTGCAAAAATGCAAAGAATCTTTTGCTAGCGCATATAGGATGACCAAGAAATTTGAAGCAGCGAAAAATGAATAAAAACCTCGTCTTATGTGGGAGTAAATACGGTATTTCTGTTATACTTATACGGAATATATAATACATATTGATCAGCTGTTCTGATATAAGTTTCCAAATAAGTTCTGTAACTTTAGGACGATTGCTAAAAGCAATTGAAAACGTTCATTTTTCTCCATCATTGTTTTATGAGCTGGATTTTTGGTTGTGTAAGTGTTTTGAATATTATCCGGTATTTAGTGCATTTATTATAAAGCATATTCACTTCATTTCTTTGAATATCTTTTATTCAAATCTTTAAAATTGTTTATGCATGCTAAAGTTTTAAACTAAGTATGCTACTATAATATATGGCACTAGGACTCAAAAAGTGCCATTCCTGGATTAGAAGATATAACTATACAGGTCACTTGCTGTGTTGACTGGAAGTGGCAAAGAATTAAAATAACAATTACAAATATAATAAAGTTTAAACAAATGATAATTCTCAGCCATTTTTCTTGTATAGTGGTTGGAAACAAATTTCTGATGTTAAATAATATGGGAAATGTAACATGCTTGTATAGCATATGTCATATATGATATAACCGTTTTGTATAATGACCCATAAAAATAATATAGTATTTCATTATGTAGAAATGTTTTAAGAAAGACTTATTGTTGAAGTAATTCAAATAAACTTCAATAAAATAGGTTTAGATTTTAAACAACTTTTTATTGCATTCACTTTATTAGTTGTATTACTGCAATTAAATAATTTTTAACAGAAATAAATTGTAATAATTTTTATTTTTTCTCAGGCAGTTATATTACTACAATTGGAGTAGATTTCAAAATTCGTACTCTACAGGTGGATGGAGAAAAAGTAAAATTACAGATATGGGATACAGCAGGCCAGGAGAGATTTCGAACTATTACGTCAACGTATGTATAAATTTTTAATTTTATTATACTCTTTTCAAAATAATCTTTTGTTGTAAACAACAAAACTTCTATTTTTGGATGCATCATTCAATTTCTAGGGTCCCCAAACAAATTTTATTTGATGCAAGTTTAGTTTCCATAGTTTAATCATTTCTTGATTAATCAGTGAAAAGTTTTAGTTCTGAAGAATGTTAAACACGAAATTGAATTAACAAACTTAAATATCGGTATGCATTAATGAACACACTAACCTTACGTTTCTCCCAGCAGGATGGTGAAAAAATAACATAAAGCAAACAGTTTTGGTCTACTTCTAAGACCTGCTTCAGGTTGATGAAATTGCTTTGATTTTCAAAGATGGAATGCACTGAAGAAAGTATTTGTATAAATTTGATTTCAAATTTTAACCAATAGGAATATCTCCACTTTTAGTTGCTATAATAAGTTTTCTATAACATTGTATTATACCTATAGGTGCCTGTTATGTGCACAAAAGATAGACTGAGTGATCGAAGCAGGTATGGCTGGCTCAGACTTTGATGCCTATGAAAGAGGAGCGCACAACACAATTTGCTGTATGCAGAATAAATGCATGTTAAGATAGAAATTGGAAGTTGTGTGGAGGAGGGCAAAGTAATGGCTGTGATTATCACAAAGAAACCAAGCCCTAGTTTTACCAAAGTACTTCATGAAAGCATTTTATATGCTTACTGATCACTAGATTAAGTTTATTGTTCTGTTTAGCAACAATTTTCCTTCTCAAACTAACATTTTAAAAATGAATGAAAACTTCTTAAGAATTAGTAATCCCCTTCATTCCCATTGACGAGTTAACTCATCAAGTTTACATAGCGTTATGAAAAACTTGGTCGTTAAGGCCACTTTTGAAATTTTTTTTTAAATTTTGGAATGTTTTTTAAGTCTCTAAATTTTTTCAAAAATTTTGACCTGCGCAAAAAAATTTTATCGCAATTTTAATCAACCTTTAATGACGCGCGATTAGCGCTTAATTGTTTTTAATGCAATTTTTTTATAAAATTTAATTAATCGTTCTAAAGTTGTAGTGCACGGATTTGACTTCAGTAAAGTTATTTAAAGCTACTTTCTGATGGCAAAAACGACCTCCAATAGTTTTTTAATTTTTTAAATTAATTAAACTTATATATTAAGTCGGGGGTCGGAATAAAAATTTTAATTTTTTAAAAATATAGGTCATTATTAAAATTTACACTCTCTTACACTCACCTCTAGGGGACTGGGAAGGAAGTTCCATAATTTATTGTACCAAGATATAACATTTAAAAAGAAAAACTTCTCATAATTCAATGGAATTATTCTTTCTTAAAAAATAAATAAAAGTATTTGTTTTAAAAATGGATTATTATAGGGGAAGAAACACTGAATATGACTAAGTTAATTAATTAACTTTCATAGTACCATAGAAAATTTTATTTTCTTTTATAAAATCTATCTTTTATATTATTAAAAGGAAAACCTTATTTTTGAAGGTAGATGCGAGTTTTTAAAATATTTGTAAGTGTTGGAATGAAATTTTTACATGTTATTGACACCATTTCAAACATGATCCTCTATCCTGTCTCCACTTAATCTTATCAATGCCCCTAATACAGAAATTGCCTGTCAAATTTTCAAAATTTTTGGTTATTTTTTTTATGCTGTGGTTTTATATTATTAGGCTCAGGAAATGTCAACTTGAGAAATCAAAAATTTGATCAATTACTATGATTTCCTGCATTTGTATAACAAGGAAAGTAAAATGAGATAAAAGCCTTTTTGCATGGCTTCTATTTCTTCAGTTCTGCAAAAAATTACTCCAGCAAGAGTATTGTATAGATGTTAAAATAAAAATCTTTCAAACTTTTTTCTCTTTAAAAAAAAACTGGGAGAAACTACAGGCTTAAGAATTTTTTATTAACACAGTATTTTATTGTTTAATTCCAAAATCTTCATTCAAAAGAAGGATGTTAAGAATCCGTACGTTAAAATTAATTGTGTGATATTACCATCCAGATTACTCTAAATATTTTTATCTTTAATTCAGATATTATCGTGGCACACACGGAGTAATTGTGGTGTACGACGTCTGTAACGGAGAATCGTTTGCTAACGTCAAACGTTGGCTGCACGAAATAGAACAGAATTGTGACGTGGTCAATAGAATACTGGGTAAGAGGTTTTTCTACAATCTAATAAAACTTGTGTGTTTTTTTAATTAATTTTCTGCTCTATTGATTTTTCTTAATAGTTGGAAACAAAAATGATGATCCGGACAGAAAGGTGGTTTTGACAGAAGACGCTCAAAGATTTGCCGATCAGATGGGCATTAGATTGTTCGAAACCAGTGCAAAAGAAAATATCAACGTGGAAGAGGTGAATTGCTTAATTAATTTTACATAATTTGCGTTCAAAATATTATGGTTTTTACAATGTAGTGTCTTTTAGATGTTTAATGCCATAACGTGCATGGTATTAAAAACTAAGCGAGAACAGAAACAACGTCAGCAGCAGTCTCACGATCGTCCCATCAAACTGCAAGGAAGTCACGCCCGCGGGAAGACAAAATGCTGCTAGTATTATAATACGGTAATCGAAACGATATATTTAAAAAACGAATCCAAATTCGGACGAGTCTGACTTATATTTTTATAGTATTCCAGGTATTACCAAAGCAGAATTGCTACGAAGTATTTTTCTCGTATGAATGTTTTTTGGAATTGTGAAGAATATTAAGATTTCTCGTCATAAACTACTTATGAATGCAAAACATTAATTTGGAGATATTTACGTATTTCGGATTATATTGATCCGAAAATTGTGACTCGACTCGTCCGATTTCTCGACATATCATTTGTCTAAAATATCAATGGGAACAATAAGCACAAAAGGAAAAATTATAGGCAATAATATTTCTCACCAACTAAAATATATAACCTATTATTTAATACAGCTTATTCCTTTATAATTATTTTTCGACTATGTTAGATTTTTTAAGAGATAAAACTTGATATATTTAATTTTCTGAATAAGTATTGACATTATCATGGAGGAAAAATAGTATTTTGTATCTGTTTAAAGTTTAAGGGCAGTTTTAGCCATTTTGCTAATAATTTAAAACATTCCATCGAAACTTCCAAAATAATCGTCTTCCAGTAAACCTATCCCAGTTTGACTGTGCAACTCAAAAAATTGTACACAGTCTGGTGAATTTCGGAAAGTACAGTACGTCAAGTATTGCCAATTTCATATTTAAAAAGTTGAAAAATATGCAGATGATTTGCCAGTCGTATACTATACCAAAGTCGTCTCAATTTCTTTTACGAATAGTTCTTCGCTGGTCTCGGAGTCCCGCCACGCGTAAAGACTCCGTTTGTCGTATTTGTATTTTAAATATAGAAAGTCGGCTTTTCGAATTAGGAAATTATAAATTTGCTTCTTACATCTTTTTATAAATTTTGAGAATGTGATACTTTTATATGGAAAATGATTGTGAATATTGTAAATATTTAAAAACATTATTATTAAATTATATTCTTCCACGTCCTCCCGATTTCTATATTTAATAAAATAAATGTAACTTAACAAAGGCCAAGTGTCTTTTGAGTCGGAAAACTGCATTGTGAATTTCTGAACTATGATTTTAGCAATTCAAAGGAATTTCGCTACATTTTTCATTTGAATCGGCACAAACTTTAACATTACTACTACTGCACTGTGGTTTTTAAAGGGCTTCTCGATTTTTAAAACTAAAGTTGGCAACGACAATATGAATTACAAAAAAATGATTATCTTTATTGCCTAGAAAATCGATTTTACTCTGGTGACCACTTATTTACATAAAAACAAATAATTTCAACGTTAGTGGCAAAAAAGCCATTTTTCAAAGAAGTGTACCATAAAGTACGTGTTTGTTCTAATTTAAAGAAATTGAGGCACTCGAAACTGGAAAATTATATATTAATTTTTACAGGTGATCCACTCCGACAAAAATAATTTCCAAATTTTACAGTTTTTTCGCCCACATTGCACGTGCCCTATGCTCCCCTGCCGGTCTTTCTTTTCTTTTTTGATTTCTTTCAGCACGAGATACCGAACACAATGAAACAAATTTTCTATGTTGTACATGCTATCAGAAAAGATAATGGTGGATGGAGATTCCACGTAATGTTTCATTCGTACTGATATAAGCAAAACCTTCGTGAATCCTACGATTTTAAAGCCGGAGAACGTTCGTGTTAGATACTAAGGGATATATTTAAAAGATGAAATTGAATGAATTGTGAATACGAAATGAAACTATTTTTTACATCATAAACTTTTAAATAGTGTAGCGATATTAAAACGGGGCCTCCCACTCGTTATAAGCGGAGGGGTCGTCGTTCTCCAGAAAGTCCTGCAAGATCTCTTCGGTCACCTGCCAGCTTCCTCCTCCACTCTCCATTCCTGTAACATTAATAATTAATTGCTGTGGATTTGTGCTTAAACAGAAAATAAACACGTCGTTCTATTAATCGTGATGATGTGAAAAGAATAGGTCCACAGTCGCAAATACCCACAATTAGTTTTTGTCAAAAAGCAACAAAAAAAGACTGTCCTGTTTGCCCGACCAAACCTGCATACCAAAAGATTACATGTATTAGATAGACTAAAAGCATATTATTTCTATTCTGGACTTAAGTCCAGAATAGAAATAATATGCTTGTAATCTACAGATGGACTGTCTATACGAAATCAAAATGGTTAGTAGAGAAATTGCCAAATGCTACGAAAGATGAGGAATTATGTAAGTTAGGAAAAAGGAGAGTGGACTGGTAAATTCAAAGTTTTTTGTATCGGTATGCAGTTAAAACACTAGTCCTAGTCCAAAATTCCGGAAAAACAATCGATGCCGAGATTTGCGCACGTAGCTAAAAATACCAACTTATTTCTCCCGTGCCCAACAACCGGATCTAAATACCATAAGATATCTATCAAACATTTGAATCATTACTATACACAAGCAGAGACTAGGCCAAAAACGTTACGCAGATGGGACATTTTTTAATCAAAAAATGTAACCTACCTCGAATCAAGTCGGGATCGTCTTCGTTTTCTGAATCCTCGTCCGAATCAGGTGCCGCCTGACCTGTAATTTACCATTATTATTTAGTCGAGGTGTTGGAGAAAGAAGGGCAATTTCAGGCAGCTACTCACCAACAAAGTCGAATCTGTCGGGTCTCAGATGATACTGGCAATAACTCATCTTGGAAACTATCAGATTGGGATGATCCAGATTCAGAATGTCCGGATCCGACGAAGTCTCTGAAACCATACATTTTTACACTTTAATTAATAAAATCAATTACTTCAGAAGTTTCCTTTCCGATTTTATTATTAACGTTTTATGCCACATATTTTCTTGAAAATGTGTAGAAGTAGGGACGGAACAGTGTAGACTTCGACTAGCCCAACATTCGAGTTACCTCGTGGTAATCCGAAACCGACTTCAAACTACCTTTCAATACCCAAAAACTATTCACAATATTCATTATACAATAATGAAAGAATTGTGTTGGAATATTTCTTCCAAAAAGTAGAAGACTAGGTAATTTCTGTCAACAAAACTTTAGTCTTCTGTTTTCCCAGAATATCCCAAATTAAATTTTTAAAATTTATATAAATTTTTGTTTAGGTAAAATAAACTTATACTCAATTTTATGATTTTTCCAACTAGAATGTTATGATTTTTCCAACTAGAATGTTAAACTAAGTAAACAGAAAAGTTCAAATCACCCGTCCCATTCCAGATCTCTGCGGGGATAATGGAAATGGAAATCTTATTCTTACCTCCCACAATGACGGTTAACGTTTGGTGGTCGGTTCTGGCCAGAATGCTGTCGTAACAGGCCTGCACCGTGATGTTGGTCACCAGAATGCATCCACTGACGTCCAACGATTTCAGATCGGGACACAAAACGGCCAGAGTCACGAAACCTGTAATTAAACCACAGTTAACCCTCCTTTATCCTCCGCAACTCCCGATTTATTAACAAACATTTTCCGTTGACGCATACAATCCTCGTTGCAAATTTTTGTGCAGTTATTAATGAAAACATTGCATAGAATTGGAATAGCGTTATAAACGGAAAAGGCCGATACGCAATGCAAATCTTGGCTCGATTAAGACAAGAACCCGGACACTGGACGAGAAGGCATTTTATCAGAGCACATATTGTTATGTTTATCCGAATTAAGGCAGACATTGTTTCACTAGAAAGACATGTATAGTACCAGTTGGTTTCCAATATTACAACCAAATGGTAAATTCCTGTATGCTATATAATCAGATCTTATATCATTTACATCTGTAAATGGTTGTGATAATAAATCTTATATACACCTTTCAATAGGTGATTTACATTGGTGACACACCACCAGTTTAAAATCTTATGAGTAGTTGAAGCCAACTCTAATATAGTAAATTTACAAAAGTATTTCATTCTAAAATGTTCACCTTTCAGGAATGGAAAGCTGAATGTTTTAGAATGAAGGCTATGTGAATGCCCAAGTGCTGTTCTGATTAATCCAATTGTAAATGATGTACAGTTTCATTTAGTAAAAAGATGGTTTGCAGGGGTTCTGAAAATTTTAATTATTCCAGCATTTTTAATATTCAATATTACTTAAATCAATCATTTAACTACTTGAATATTTTTCTATTCGGCTGATTGTTGTTGGTAGTTGTTGCCACCATTGTAAACCACAGTTTTGTACAAGTTTAACAGCAGTACACTGCATTAGAATTCCTCACAGGTAATTAAAAAACCTAATGACTAAATGGGTATGCTATCATATATGACTGGACTGCTGTTGCAAATACATTTAAATGGTTTTCAGTTAAACCACTTGTTAATTTTCCCCCGTATTCCATGTTATCAATAACACTTAAAATGATCTGTATTAGCTGACAACATATCTTGTTAATGACTTAGTCATCCAATTTAGGTCATTTCTCACTCATTCTGTACAGCAGAGCAAACAGTCAATGCTAAAGTGACTGGAATTCTCAGTTGCCTGTAGCAAGCAGCAGATTGTACTGTACATATAATAAAAATGCAGTCTTGTAATGTCACTGCTGTATCTTCTTTGATTAGTTGGAACATTAAGAAGATTAAGTTGTTCAATGATGAATGTTATAATTCCCATCTGTATGGCATCACACTGAGATGCTATCTTGTCAAGCATTTCATATGCCCAGTTTGTGCAAAACAAAGCAGTCAGGTTTTTGTAATGGTTAAGTACTCAAGCTGTGATCATCTTTTTACTGAGCATTCATTATCCAAAATCCATGTTAATTCTTCTCTTTCTACATACTGTTCAGCAACAAATATACTGTTCTGAAGATCAGTAGTACTGGATAAGCTTAAAGAAATTTTCTGGCTGGTCTTCTGTAACATGCCGGTTAAAAATCACATCCTTTAGCTGCTCATTCAAAAATGAATGAGCAGCTAAAGGATGTGATTTTTAACCGGCATGTTACAGAAGACCAGCCAGAAAATTTCTTTCACATCCTTTAGCTGCTCATTCAAAAATGAATGAGCAGCTAAAGGATGCCCAGAGAGCCTGTGGTTGATGTATTGATATTTTCCCTGCTTTGATTGAATTTTGTCAAAATAATTTGGCAATTCAGGAAATATAGTTGGAATTGCATTCTCTCTTTCAAGTTCCACTGTGTTTCCAACAAAGTTCTTGCAAATACCAGAACATAAGAACCATGCTACAATGAGCAATGATTTATTGTGGCACTGTCACAATACCAGAACTGCAATCTTTAATCATATTTTTTTCATTTATTTAATTTAAAATATATGCCCTCCATCTCAAATTATTAGTGTCGTTCCCTTGTACAGTACATCATACTTTTCCTGTTAGCAATAGTGTCATGCAGTAATCTATCTAACTCCTTTCAGGAGAAAATTTTGAATTGAAACAACAAGACTTCCAGTTTGCATTAAAGTTCTCTTGCCCCTATGTCTTCCACTTTCATCTATCTAACTCCATTCTCAAGATTAAGGAAGGACAGATAGACACATGGACGATAGTGGGAATTTATAGGTCTACAGTTTTTTGAAATTGCAGCCCAATCAGTTGGATTCTACTTTAGGAATTTTTAAAACACTTGCATAACCAGTTGATGCAGATTCAATTTCTTTTGCATTTAGATAAGCAGCACTTTTTAGTCATTAACAAAAATATCTTTTTGGCTTAAACCCATGTCATTAGGTTTACAATGTATAAATTCAAAAAATAAAACCAATATAAAAAAAAATGAAGTTTGGAGTAACAATAAACATCAAAAATAGATAAACTTACACAAAATATCAAACAAAATAATTAATATATGATCAAAAATGAGGGCACAAGCAAAAGCACACTACTATGTAGTTGACATGTGTTCAGAAAATTGCTTCAGTTGACCATGCCCTCCAAGCAAATCCGTTAAAATTCTTTTGGAGAGCCTTCTGTAGCTGGTTGTGATATAAGTGAGCTTTGCCATTGACTATTGCTAACAAGGAGAAATAAAACTTACTTTTAGACCAATATTAGATACGTCTGTATGTATTTTATTTAATAGTCTGACTTAGAAGTCTGTATTTCATACGTTAACATTCGACTTACCTGTATCGCCGAGATTGGGACAGCCCCTACACTGAAGTGTTTCAAGTTGTCCCTGTCTAGCTATTGCTGATATACCTTCGTTTGTTATCTAAAGAGAATTTTAAAAACTTTCGTAAAACTGCAAAAAGAATCATTTATTTATTTACTTACTTAAATATAAATTTACCTTATCTAAATAACTAATATACAAGGTTTTCAAATAATTGCAATTGGAAAGTGCAGACAGAGATGCATCAGTAATCCCATGATAACATTCGGAAAGGTTTAGAAATCTGAAAATTTAAAACTCATGAAATTTTTTTTTATTTTATGTGATCATTCCTGAAACTTTTTAAACACAAGTACCATATAATTAAGAAATAATTTGGCAATGGAGAAATGTTCTTAACTGGACTAATTTTTTTGGTAATTATTTCTAGATAACATGTATACTTTTTGATTATAGAAAAAAGGAATATGTAAGTAAATAGGCATGACGTGTTTTTGTTATTCCAAAATTATTGTCAATGATGTTCTTAAGTAGAAGTGTGATGTGTGGATCATTTTGGAATATCTATAGAAGGTATGTTGAGGAAACAACAAGGATCTATAGAAGGTATGTTGAGGAAACAAAAACAGTTTAGGGTCAAGTTATAAACTCCGTAACGTATCTGTAAATGTTTGCTACACTGGATATCTATACCAATAGTTATACTTTAAAGCCTTTTCCGTATCCGTAAAGGAAGAGACTTTTTTTACGGTTTACGAAGCAGTCCATTGTGAGCATGCGCAAAATCATCGGCTGATGTTGCCACATCTAATACTGTAATTATTTATTAATTTTACCATTTTTATATTTTTTATGACCAAATTAATTCTTATCTTAAAATTTTATATTATTCAGAAGTAGCATTGTCGGTTTAAAGTTACTTTTCAATCAATTTGTTACTTTGCTTGATATCATCAACTACAATTACTTGCCAGCAACTTGTCTGCTTTTTATGAACAACAAATGATCCTAAACTTATTGCCAATAACACAATCATTGCAGCACATTCTTGACGAGTAGCCATCTTGTCTCTCTCCACATTGTCCATCTTGACAATGGAATACGGTATGGCCATATGGATATGATACGGAGTTTATAACCACACTATACGGATACGCTTATAGCTACGGATACAGTTACGTTACGGAGTTTATAACTCGAACCTTAAGTCTCATAGAATTGTTTATCCCACTGTTCCACTGCTAAGACATGAATTGCAGTATTTAATATTTGCATACTTATTGTACCTGAAAGAAACTGTTCTCTGAAACTTAGCAGTCATATATATATATACTTGATTGTCAATCTGTTTCTTTTTTTGTGTGTGTGATGTAGTCATTAATTCCTGGAGTGAATTTTTTGCATTCAAATCATTTGGTGATCATACTAGGCATAACAACTTCAAGGCATGACAAGTTAATATGCCAGAGGGTGGCCTGTCATGTGTATTGGAAGTAATGTTATGTAAGTTGACTTAAACTTATCCAGTGTGCTGTTTTTGATTTATCTTGTGACAAATTTTCACAGTGTGTGTGAATTAAATTTTGTTTTAAGTCAGGAAAAAGACTACAAAAACTTATGAAATGTTAAAGATGGCTTTTAGGAAACACGCTAAGGGTCATATACAAACTTTGAGCAATTTCCTGGTTTAAAGAAGACAGAACAAAAGTCGTTGACAATAGTGCTTTGGTTAACCAATGTCAAGTCCAACACCAGAAATCATTGAAAAAGTTTGATGAATCATCTGCAGGGACCATCACAGAACCATCAACCAAGTCAATGTGATAGTGGGTATTGATTGTAAAACTATCACAAAATTCTACCTGATAAATTGAACAAATGGCAGACTGCAGCAAAATTTATATCCAGGTTCCTTATTTCTAACCAAAAGCAACAATGCTTTGATGTTTGCTCTGATGTCAAATAGCAGGTTGCAAATGACATCAGTTTTCATTCTAGCATCATTACAGGCAATGAATGCTGAGTCTATGTCTATGAGCAAAACTTAAACAACAGTAAACTCAGTGACGATGAAATGAATCAAAGCAAAAGCAAAATCAAGTCCATATCAATTTGTTTCATTAATCAGAAGGTAATTTATTTATTACACTAATATAAGTAATAAAGAATAAGAAAATTTTTACAATTTTACATAAAAAGAATAAAATCAGAATATACAAGTCCAAGCCTAGAAATTGAATATTTTTTATCAAGCTATATAGTCTGTTTGTTATGCAAAAATACAACCAAAATATAAAACACAATGACTAAAAGAAAGCCAAATCTAGTACAAGCTACTTTCCCTGAGTGGCAAGAAGAATGGCTTAATTTATTGAAAAGTAAATAAACTTTGTTAAGTTTGGATTGAACCTTTTATAAAGGAGAGCGTGCAACAACAAAGTCCAAACAGGCAGACAGCAGTCAACAACAGATTGAAAATTAGCAAAAAATAACATTCTTAAGGCACATCTTGATGATATGGAATGACAATGATGCCATAGAATACTTCCACAAACTGCAAGGCTCTTAGAGATTGCATCCATCTGGAGCTTAAGAGTGATGTTTTGATCAGAGACAATTAATTCTCAAATCATTAACAGAACTTGTGTATTGTAAAAGAATTTATTGTCTTGAAAATTGTTGAATCTAATATCTCAAAAATTGTTATAGTAGAGATAACAGAGATTTATCACACTGGTACTGGTAACATCAAAATGACACTTCTATCATCAGAATGTAACTTCATTACAAACTTTTCAAGATTTATCTCCACTCACACTGCAAGTATTATGAGGATTATACTATACCGTGTGTACTTCATAGTACTGTGCAGTGTGAGTGGAAATAAATCTTGAACAGGTCAGTTTGTAAACCAGTATTATATGTATACATTTATAATTTTTAAAACTGTTTTTAAAATTACTTTAGGCATGTTTTAAATTGTAGATTGTAATTAATGTCAATTTCTCTGCAAATTTGTTCTACATGAAATTTTCTTTTGTAAAGGTATCTTAAATTTTTTGTGTTATTTCAATTGTATATAAACATATTTTTTGTTGTAGATATCTATATATTTTTATATATGGCTGATGAGGGTCTTGTGTACTGAAATACATACCAGTAAAAGACTGTGGCCATTTGGCCCCTTGCAAGTATCACAAAAATACAAAATAAACAAACAAAAAACATAAAAAAAGTTAAGAGAGAAGGACTACATAAAAAGAAATCACAGCAACTATTTTTGAAAAATTATTGTTTAATTTTAAGATTAAACAATAATTTAATCAAATGAATTCAAATGACAATTCAAATGAATGAGTTAAAGTATTGTAGTCTTGCTATAAAATAACAGGATCAAAATTTATAATTTCAAAAGCATCAAAGTAAGCAAAAATTAAGCATAATGTGATAAAGTCAAAATAAGTGACAAAGAATACAACTAGTTAATACAGATCTTTGAGAGATGCCACATATCGGATTAAAATTATGGAAACAAATATCTGAGTTTGAAAGAATGAACCAAAAAATAATTGATGACCTATGTGATGATTAGAGAATATACATCAAAGTAATAAGCAAGAATGTATACTAACAGAGAAGGGATTGAAGAGTCACAGGCTTGAGAGATATAGATGTATAATATGTATGTATATTTCTTGTCCTCAAGATTATTTAATATAGTTTCAAGAAAGTTGTATACCATTGATCTATGATGAATATCACAATGTCAAACAGGCTTTTATCTTATAGTAACAGGAGAATAAATATAGGAAAATATACAACATTCAAAGCTTTTCAAGACAGTGGATAAAATAGAAATGGGACAGAAAGATTTTTGATCTTTTTTAGGGATAGCAATAATGGTAGATGATTACCACTGATCAAGGATAGAGCAAACTGAAAGATATAGCTAAAAAAACAAGATAAAACTGTAGAAACAATGGATAAAACGTTAAAATAAAAAATAGCTATAATACAATTAGGGATGTTGGAAGATGAGGATAATTTCAGAATACATTGGTGAACTTGCAAAAATGAAAATGAAACACTAACAGAATTTGAATTAGATTGTTTCAAGGTCTTAAAATTTGAATTAGGAATATACATTATTTAAAAAATTATCTTTAAACTGATTGTAGACATCATAAACTAGGTTTTCATAAAAAATTTTATTTTGGAAATAATGCTCCAGAAAATTTTTGGATCTTAAGCATATTTACCAACAGTGGAGCTAAAATATTCTGATTACCTGAATTTGCATTCATGCTAAAATTTTTTGTGCAGTTGTAAATTTAAAGATACCTTTGGTTACCAAAGACTTTCCACAAATACCTTTGTTTATGCATATTATTACAAAGTTTTTTAGAGTAGAGAAAACCATTTACTTGAAGAAATATCAAGATTTTTTTGAAAGGAAAGAATCTACTAATGGACTGATGAAATACATCACATATGCAACTTGAAACATTCAATTTAATTAATAACAAAACATTCTGGTTATCAAGAAAAGATCAATCTAAAGAACATAATGATGAAGGAAGAAGATTCCAATTAACATTAAGCCAAAGATAAACTAAAATATGCAAATGTTTGCAAGATGAAGAAGGAACTGAATGTAAATCAACAATATCAGAAGAGGAACCAGAACAGGAACAGCCATTATGGAAAGGTCTTTAGAAAAAAAATGAGATCAAGAGATCTTCCTGGTCAGAAAAGACACACAGTGCTTAAAATTAAAAAAGTAAAAAAATATTATCAATAAATATCTCAAGTTGTTCAAGTACAGAAAACAATGGACAACAATTAAACTATAAAATATTAGAGATTAAAACCATCAGAAAGTACAGTAATAAATTTTAAAAATTTACTATAGGTACAGTAAATAGAAATCAAATAAAATAAGAAGTATAGAATATCTTACAGGATGGGAACATAAACAGATGATATACTTTACTTAAGATTCAAAATTTTGATGGCCAGAATGGCATTAGAGTATTTGAAGACTTTATTGACATTTAAAGGGTGAAATATTAATAAGATACTATATCCTCTACAGTTAATTCTGTTGATGGACATGGTTATAAATGTTCGTGAGCAGACTAGATTATCAATATCAGTTTATCTAGTTTTCAGTAAGAATAAACAAGTTTTACTGTTCATTTAGCAGAGTAGATAGAAATAAACATTTATTGTTAATGTTTCTTCTACCAAATTATTTTTTATTTATCTTGTAGAGGAGATGGTACATTAAAAAATTTAAAATACAGAAATGTTTGTCATAATGGATAGTTATGTGCAGAAACACTAAAGGACATCAAAATTGTATAGAGAGAATTGTGGATCAAATACTAAGAATAGAATAAAAAGAAAACAAATTTACAAACCCAATAAAAGAATAAATGATGTATATTAAAAAACAGAATGGCAGAACAAGACATGGCTGCCCCATCACAACAATGCTTCTGTGCAAGCTGCCCTTTTGACCAAACAAATTTTAACCACTAACAACATGGCTGTGATACCCATCTTCTCTACTTACATCCTGCAATTTCTTCCTGTATTCAAAGCTAAAGATGAAACTGAATAGACAAAGATTCCAGACTGTGGAGGAAATTTAGATGAAATCGCAGACTAAACAAAACTTATGGGCAATGACTTCTGGAGATGTTTCCAGATGTAGGAATATAATCCAGAAATATAATGACTACACCAAGCATACATACATATTCAGACCAGTGTCCAGGGTTTGCTCATGAAATTTATGGAAACTCTAGAAGTACATTGTTTTCATTACATAACTAAGAGAAAAATAGAAAAATGATAGATATATACTGTATTTAATATAATTTTTAAAATTTTGTTTATCCTTTAAGTCATTCAATCATATAACTACCTAGAAATATATAAAATAAACAGAAATAATATACAAAACATTTTGAAAAAAAATGTAATTTCTTTAAGTTTATCTTTACCTAATTTTTCGGCATCCATGACAGATGGAATAAACTACATCATCATCAACTGCATAGTTATGAGCTAAAGACAGTTCCTCCTATTAAAAGAAATATATATCTGTATTATATATTATAAATCATAACTATAAATTATTTATAAAGCTACATAAAATTTAATAAAAATAATTTATTAAATTATAATTCACTTACTAAATTTGATAATCTCCCAATATGATGAAGTCCACTAGCTGTCACTAAAATAATATATATTTAATGAAAAAAACTGAATTACATAATAAATTTTATATGAAATTTAATAATTAAAAATAAAAGAAAAATTAAGAATATTTGGTATTTACTATTAACACTTAATTACTTTTGGTAAAATATTTACAGGAATAACCAATGGCTTGTCTACTTCTGTTTATAAAAGCTTATACACTTACTTATCAAGCTGTATTTGACCTAGACTAAGAAAAATACCTGACAGAGTGCTCCCTGTCAGGTATTTTTCACATGACAGAGAGCACCCTGTCAGGTGTTTCCAATACATCTATAATGTATAATATATATTAGGAATTTTTATAAATATTTTTTTTAAATTGTTTTTTGGATTATTGTGATGACAGATCAAATGACTAGCTTGACTTGTGCACAAAATCTTATGGAGATGACACATGCATAGAAGGAAATGATACATTATCTGCCAGAATGAAAAGAATGTGATTGAGTTTTGAACAGCAAGGACATTTTACTCTCTTTTATTCCTCTGTTAAAAAGTAAATCTAGGTCAAGTTGTGTTGAAATGTAAGAGCACATGTAAATTTCTTTTTTGTCAAGTTGAATGCCAAAGTCATTTTGTTGTGAAGTGTATATTCAGCAGAAAATTCCATTAATATAAAATCTTTCATTCCTTTGATTTTTTGTGATGCATTGTCTCTCTTAAACTTGTCTTATAATCACTTGAGCCCCTCATATAATCAGTCCTCTATTTTGATAATTCATCACCCTCAATATAATTTCCACTACAATAACAAGAATTGATTATCAGTGGAATTGAAATCCAAAATATAAAAAGTGCCAAAACATTTTGTAATTACAATCATTGTGTAATTGTAAGTGTATTCTTTCTATCTTGTATGTTTGATAAAAATAATACAATTTAATATTATTCACTCTCACCTATACTTCACTAAGCTGTACAAATATGAAAACTGTTTTCTTTTAAAGTAACAGCAGTAAAAAAAAATTATACTGGCTACATACACACACACAGTAATGTCCCTATAATCCAATGTGAACTGTGAAAGAATACTTAGCAAAAACAAGAGAAAGCAGTACAGTATAGCCTTTCTCTATCATTGTAAAGAATTCTATGCAACATGGGCTAGATCAGTGTTTCTCAATCTCTAACGAATCGTCACCCCCTTCACTTAAAAATTCCGATGCTGAGGGCCAGGGCTAATGCCAAATTTGTACTGCATCGAATAGACTAGTGACTAGTATAATGTTATTTGTTTAATTATTGTACGATACAACCAATAAAATATCTAATTAATCTTAATATAATGTTTTACTATATCGCCCAGAAAATTGTTTTTCACCCCTCCAAAATATAAATTGTTATAAATCGCCCCCTCAACATGGAAAAACACAATGAGAAACACTGGGCTAGATCATTGCAAAGGGTCCTATGCAATATAGGCTATGCAATGCAATTTGAAAGTATAGCTTGTTTTATAAATAATAAATGGTGATGTGTGGTATGCTAAAGGGAGTACAGACACAACTGAATGGTCAATGAGGTAAAGACCCAACTGATTGTCATTCATTTGAAATTCATTCTATCTCACAAGAATAACAACCAATTTGGCCTCAAACTCAAATCAGATCAAATTAGTAAACATATGGGTCATTTCCTTGATTTGAATTAGCATTAAGGGATGAGAAATGTTTACATCAAGTCAGCTTAAAACCCCTTTACATACATAAATGCTTGAATGATCTATATTCCTATAAAATGTCTGCCTTCAAGGCCTAATTACCAGAGATTTTACAAACACATTGTTCTGATATTAGATGCACTTGGAATGAGCTGAACAGGATTATAGTAGTAGATAAATCACATGGGTATGCAAACAAAGTATAATAAAGCTTATAGAATTCTACAGCAACAAAAAACAGCAAGCCCAGGACTCCAATATACAAATTAGATCTATGACTATTACCTACAGCAGACATTTAAATGGAACACAAACAAATGGGAAGAAAATGTGGTGTTAAGTTAATATACAGTACAAGCAGAATGCAATCCCAAACACATTAAGTGGAGAGAACTGGATCAGCTGCTACATAGGTTACACTGGATACAATCTCTCCACAAGAGTAAAAATGAACTTGAGTATGATGTTAGAAAAGAAAACTACAACATGGTTTTGGCGGTGCTATCCTCAATACCAAAAATACTCTACATTTTGACAAGGCAAAACTGCTACACACTGGCAAACATCCACGGGAAACAAAAAATAATTAAAAAAATTACCATCTACAAGAATGCTAAGAACCATCAATGCATCAACCACAAGGATGTTTGTTAACTGTCTATCAACAGATGGAAATATCTAGTGTAATAATGTTCAACCTTAATACCAAAATGCTATCCCTAAACCATATAATCCTGTATCTGTATTAGATAACCATTGATATTCATGCATTAATTCTGTATTTTTGTATGTTTCCTATAATCATTTTATTTATTTTGGAATTTATACAGTTACTTAAAAATTTAACATATATTTGATGCATATTCAAATTAAAAAATTTGAACATATATTCAACATATATAAAAGTAATTTTCTATATTTCCAATAATCTATTTAATATGTATGCAATCCTGAAGATGGCTGCAAACAAAAGTCAAAAGTCTAGAAAGAATAAACAATATACTGGTCAAGGTTTGTGTAATATCTTAAATTTAGTGTTTTATCATATAATTTAAAAAGTTATTATGTTCAACAAGTATGTCTAATTTAAAAGTAGACTATGTTTGTTGTATCTTTTAATGCATCAAAATCCAGTTTGTTTAAGAATTTACTGTCTATTTAATTGTATCCAAAGTACCCTCAGTCTATATTACTACAAACAATCAAGACACTAGGTACTTTGTCTTGATTATTTGAAAACTTCTATGAAAAGACATAATGCAGTCACATAATGATGATTTAGTTTAGTTTTTAGTTGCTTATGATAACATGAATACTGAAATATTTTATAAGATGTGTAAATGAAAAAAATAATAATATACAATCAGAATCTTATTGTAATGTATATCTCTTAAAAAATATTTCAATTCTCAATAATCAAACACAATGTATGAACAAGCATAATAAGTAATTGATTATAAATTATTCGAAAGTTATAAACATTAATATAATGATATATGTCTGATGTATTATTTCAAAATTAATTTCCGTATTTACTCACATATAAGACAAGATTTTTATTTATTTTTCACTGCTTTCAAAAACCTAGGTTGTCCTATACATGCGAGCAAGGGGTTTGCATTTTTTTCAAAAGTTTTTATAAACAGTGTATTCGCATTTTTTCCAGATGCTTGTCCTCTGGTGTTTAAAAAACAAAACTATTTTATCTGAGTTGTTCACATTGTTCTTGTGTATTATCAGAAGTAAAGATAAATAGCAATAGGAAAAGCAAAGCTTTTGAATTGAATTCCAAATTGAAATGTCAAAATCACATGGGAGTGAGCCCGATATAAGTTTTAATCCATTCCCACATGAAAACAGACAATTTTTTGGAAATCAAAAATCAGAGAGACTCNTAAAATTTTATATTATTCAGAAGTAGCATTGTCGGTTTAAAGTTACTTTTCAATCAATTTGTTACTTTGCTTGATATCATCAACTACAATTACTTGCCAGCAACTTGTCTGCTTTTTATGAACAACAAATGATCCTAAACTTATTGCCAATAACACAATCATTGCAGCACATTCTTGACGAGTAGCCATCTTGTCTCTCTCCACATTGTCCATCTTGACAATGGAATACGGTATGGCCATATGGATATGATACGGAGTTTATAACCACACTATACGGATACGCTTATAGCTACGGATACAGTTACGTTACGGAGTTTATAACTCGAACCTTAAGTCTCATAGAATTGTTTATCCCACTGTTCCACTGCTAAGACATGAATTGCAGTATTTAATATTTGCATACTTATTGTACCTGAAAGAAACTGTTCTCTGAAACTTAGCAGTCATATATATATACTTGATTGTCAATCTGTTTCTTTTTTTGTGTGTGTGATGTAGTCATTAATTCCTGGAGTGAATTTTTTGCATTCAAATCATTTGGTGATCATACTAGGCATAACAACTTCAAGGCATGACAAGTTAATATGCCAGAGGGTGGCCTGTCATGTGTATTGGAAGTAATGTTATGTAAGTTGACTTAAACTTATCCAGTGTGCTGTTTTTGATTTATCTTGTGACAAATTTTCACAGTGTGTGTGAATTAAATTTTGTTTTAAGTCAGGAAAAAGACTACAAAAACTTATGAAATGTTAAAGATGGCTTTTAGGAAACACGCTAAGGGTCATATACAAACTTTGAGCAATTTCCTGGTTTAAAGAAGACAGAACAAAAGTCGTTGACAATAGTGCTTTGGTTAACCAATGTCAAGTCCAACACCAGAAATCATTGAAAAAGTTTGATGAATCATCTGCAGGGACCATCACAGAACCATCAACCAAGTCAATGTGATAGTGGGTATTGATTGTAAAACTATCACAAAATTCTACCTGATAAATTGAACAAATGGCAGACTGCAGCAAAATTTATATCCAGGTTCCTTATTTCTAACCAAAAGCAACAATGCTTTGATGTTTGCTCTGATGTCAAATAGCAGGTTGCAAATGACATCAGTTTTCATTCTAGCATCATTACAGGCAATGAATGCTGAGTCTATGTCTATGAGCAAAACTTAAACAACAGTAAACTCAGTGACGATGAAATGAATCAAAGCAAAAGCAAAATCAAGTCCATATCAATTTGTTTCATTAATCAGAAGGTAATTTATTTATTACACTAATATAAGTAATAAAGAATAAGAAAATTTTTACAATTTTACATAAAAAGAATAAAATCAGAATATACAAGTCCAAGCCTAGAAATTGAATATTTTTTATCAAGCTATATAGTCTGTTTGTTATGCAAAAATACAACCAAAATATAAAACACAATGACTAAAAGAAAGCCAAATCTAGTACAAGCTACTTTCCCTGAGTGGCAAGAAGAATGGCTTAATTTATTGAAAAGTAAATAAACTTTGTTAAGTTTGGATTGAACCTTTTATAAAGGAGAGCGTGCAACAACAAAGTCCAAACAGGCAGACAGCAGTCAACAACAGATTGAAAATTAGCAAAAAATAACATTCTTAAGGCACATCTTGATGATATGGAATGACAATGATGCCATAGAATACTTCCACAAACTGCAAGGCTCTTAGAGATTGCATCCATCTGGAGCTTAAGAGTGATGTTTTGATCAGAGACAATTAATTCTCAAATCATTAACAGAACTTGTGTATTGTAAAAGAATTTATTGTCTTGAAAATTGTTGAATCTAATATCTCAAAAATTGTTATAGTAGAGATAACAGAGATTTATCACACTGGTACTGGTAACATCAAAATGACACTTCTATCATCAGAATGTAACTTCATTACAAACTTTTCAAGATTTATCTCCACTCACACTGCAAGTATTATGAGGATTATACTATACCGTGTGTACTTCATAGTACTGTGCAGTGTGAGTGGAAATAAATCTTGAACAGGTCAGTTTGTAAACCAGTATTATATGTATACATTTATAATTTTTAAAACTGTTTTTAAAATTACTTTAGGCATGTTTTAAATTGTAGATTGTAATTAATGTCAATTTCTCTGCAAATTTGTTCTACATGAAATTTTCTTTTGTAAAGGTATCTTAAATTTTTTGTGTTATTTCAATTGTATATAAACATATTTTTTGTTGTAGATATCTATATATTTTTATATATGGCTGATGAGGGTCTTGTGTACTGAAATACATACCAGTAAAAGACTGTGGCCATTTGGCCCCTTGCAAGTATCACAAAAATACAAAATAAACAAACAAAAAACATAAAAAAAGTTAAGAGAGAAGGACTACATAAAAAGAAATCACAGCAACTATTTTTGAAAAATTATTGTTTAATTTTAAGATTAAACAATAATTTAATCAAATGAATTCAAATGACAATTCAAATGAATGAGTTAAAGTATTGTAGTCTTGCTATAAAATAACAGGATCAAAATTTATAATTTCAAAAGCATCAAAGTAAGCAAAAATTAAGCATAATGTGATAAAGTCAAAATAAGTGACAAAGAATACAACTAGTTAATACAGATCTTTGAGAGATGCCACATATCGGATTAAAATTATGGAAACAAATATCTGAGTTTGAAAGAATGAACCAAAAAATAATTGATGACCTATGTGATGATTAGAGAATATACATCAAAGTAATAAGCAAGAATGTATACTAACAGAGAAGGGATTGAAGAGTCACAGGCTTGAGAGATATAGATGTATAATATGTATGTATATTTCTTGTCCTCAAGATTATTTAATATAGTTTCAAGAAAGTTGTATACCATTGATCTATGATGAATATCACAATGTCAAACAGGCTTTTATCTTATAGTAACAGGAGAATAAATATAGGAAAATATACAACATTCAAAGCTTTTCAAGACAGTGGATAAAATAGAAATGGGACAGAAAGATTTTTGATCTTTTTTAGGGATAGCAATAATGGTAGATGATTACCACTGATCAAGGATAGAGCAAACTGAAAGATATAGCTAAAAAAACAAGATAAAACTGTAGAAACAATGGATAAAACGTTAAAATAAAAAATAGCTATAATACAATTAGGGATGTTGGAAGATGAGGATAATTTCAGAATACATTGGTGAACTTGCAAAAATGAAAATGAAACACTAACAGAATTTGAATTAGATTGTTTCAAGGTCTTAAAATTTGAATTAGGAATATACATTATTTAAAAAATTATCTTTAAACTGATTGTAGACATCATAAACTAGGTTTTCATAAAAAATTTTATTTTGGAAATAATGCTCCAGAAAATTTTTGGATCTTAAGCATATTTACCAACAGTGGAGCTAAAATATTCTGATTACCTGAATTTGCATTCATGCTAAAATTTTTTGTGCAGTTGTAAATTTAAAGATACCTTTGGTTACCAAAGACTTTCCACAAATACCTTTGTTTATGCATATTATTACAAAGTTTTTTAGAGTAGAGAAAACCATTTACTTGAAGAAATATCAAGATTTTTTTGAAAGGAAAGAATCTACTAATGGACTGATGAAATACATCACATATGCAACTTGAAACATTCAATTTAATTAATAACAAAACATTCTGGTTATCAAGAAAAGATCAATCTAAAGAACATAATGATGAAGGAAGAAGATTCCAATTAACATTAAGCCAAAGATAAACTAAAATATGCAAATGTTTGCAAGATGAAGAAGGAACTGAATGTAAATCAACAATATCAGAAGAGGAACCAGAACAGGAACAGCCATTATGGAAAGGTCTTTAGAAAAAAAATGAGATCAAGAGATCTTCCTGGTCAGAAAAGACACACAGTGCTTAAAATTAAAAAAGTAAAAAAATATTATCAATAAATATCTCAAGTTGTTCAAGTACAGAAAACAATGGACAACAATTAAACTATAAAATATTAGAGATTAAAACCATCAGAAAGTACAGTAATAAATTTTAAAAATTTACTATAGGTACAGTAAATAGAAATCAAATAAAATAAGAAGTATAGAATATCTTACAGGATGGGAACATAAACAGATGATATACTTTACTTAAGATTCAAAATTTTGATGGCCAGAATGGCATTAGAGTATTTGAAGACTTTATTGACATTTAAAGGGTGAAATATTAATAAGATACTATATCCTCTACAGTTAATTCTGTTGATGGACATGGTTATAAATGTTCGTGAGCAGACTAGATTATCAATATCAGTTTATCTAGTTTTCAGTAAGAATAAACAAGTTTTACTGTTCATTTAGCAGAGTAGATAGAAATAAACATTTATTGTTAATGTTTCTTCTACCAAATTATTTTTTATTTATCTTGTAGAGGAGATGGTACATTAAAAAATTTAAAATACAGAAATGTTTGTCATAATGGATAGTTATGTGCAGAAACACTAAAGGACATCAAAATTGTATAGAGAGAATTGTGGATCAAATACTAAGAATAGAATAAAAACAAAACAAATTTACAAACCCAATAAAAGAATAAATGATGTATATTAAAAAACAGAATGGCAGAACAAGACATGGCTGCCCCATCACAACAATGCTTCTGTGCAAGCTGCCCTTTTGACCAAACAAATTTTAACCACTAACAACATGGCTGTGATACCCATCTTCTCTACTTACATCCTGCAATTTCTTCCTGTATTCAAAGCTAAAGATGAAACTGAATAGACAAAGATTCCAGACTGTGGAGGAAATTTAGATGAAATCGCAGACTAAACAAAACTTATGGGCAATGACTTCTGGAGATGTTTCCAGATGTAGGAATATAATCCAGAAATATAATGACTACACCAAGCATACATACATATTCAGACCAGTGTCCAGGGTTTGCTCATGAAATTTATGGAAACTCTAGAAGTACATTGTTTTCATTACATAACTAAGAGAAAAATAGAAAAATGATAGATATATACTGTATTTAATATAATTTTTAAAATTTTGTTTATCCTTTAAGTCATTCAATCATATAACTACCTAGAAATATATAAAATAAACAGAAATAATATACAAAACATTTTGAAAAAAAATGTAATTTCTTTAAGTTTATCTTTACCTAATTTTTCGGCATCCATGACAGATGGAATAAACTACATCATCATCAACTGCATAGTTATGAGCTAAAGACAGTTCCTCCTATTAAAAGAAATATATATCTGTATTATATATTATAAATCATAACTATAAATTATTTATAAAGCTACATAAAATTTAATAAAAATAATTTATTAAATTATAATTCACTTACTAAATTTGATAATCTCCCAATATGATGAAGTCCACTAGCTGTCACTAAAATAATATATATTTAATGAAAAAAACTGAATTACATAATAAATTTTATATGAAATTTAATAATTAAAAATAAAAGAAAAATTAAGAATATTTGGTATTTACTATTAACACTTAATTACTTTTGGTAAAATATTTACAGGAATAACCAATGGCTTGTCTACTTCTGTTTATAAAAGCTTATACACTTACTTATCAAGCTGTATTTGACCTAGACTAAGAAAAATACCTGACAGAGTGCTCCCTGTCAGGTATTTTTCACATGACAGAGAGCACCCTGTCAGGTGTTTCCAATACATCTATAATGTATAATATATATTAGGAATTTTTATAAATATTTTTTTTAAATTGTTTTTTGGATTATTGTGATGACAGATCAAATGACTAGCTTGACTTGTGCACAAAATCTTATGGAGATGACACATGCATAGAAGGAAATGATACATTATCTGCCAGAATGAAAAGAATGTGATTGAGTTTTGAACAGCAAGGACATTTTACTCTCTTTTATTCCTCTGTTAAAAAGTAAATCTAGGTCAAGTTGTGTTGAAATGTAAGAGCACATGTAAATTTCTTTTTTGTCAAGTTGAATGCCAAAGTCATTTTGTTGTGAAGTGTATATTCAGCAGAAAATTCCATTAATATAAAATCTTTCATTCCTTTGATTTTTTGTGATGCATTGTCTCTCTTAAACTTGTCTTATAATCACTTGAGCCCCTCATATAATCAGTCCTCTATTTTGATAATTCATCACCCTCAATATAATTTCCACTACAATAACAAGAATTGATTATCAGTGGAATTGAAATCCAAAATATAAAAAGTGCCAAAACATTTTGTAATTACAATCATTGTGTAATTGTAAGTGTATTCTTTCTGTCTTGTATGTTTGATAAAAATAATACAATTTAATATTATTCACTCTCACCTATACTTCACTAAGCTGTACAAATATGAAAACTGTTTTCTTTTAAAGTAACAGCAGTAAAAAAAAATTATACTGGCTACATACACACACACAGTAATGTCCCTATAATCCAATGTGAACTGTGAAAGAATACTTAGCAAAAACAAGAGAAAGCAGTACAGTATAGCCTTTCTCTATCATTGTAAAGAATTCTATGCAACATGGGCTAGATCAGTGTTTCTCAATCTCTAACGAATCGTCACCCCCTTCACTTAAAAATTCCGATGCTGAGGGCCAGGGCTAATGCCAAATTTGTACTGCATCGAATAGACTAGTGACTAGTATAATGTTATTTGTTTAATTATTGTACGATACAACCAATAAAATATCTAATTAATCTTAATATAATGTTTTACTATATCGCCCAGAAAATTGTTTTTCACCCCTCCAAAATATAAATTGTTATAAATCGCCCCCTCAACATGGAAAAACACAATGAGAAACACTGGGCTAGATCATTGCAAAGGGTCCTATGCAATATAGGCTATGCAATGCAATTTGAAAGTATAGCTTGTTTTATAAATAATAAATGGTGATGTGTGGTATGCTAAAGGGAGTACAGACACAACTGAATGGTCAATGAGGTAAAGACCCAACTGATTGTCATTCATTTGAAATTCATTCTATCTCACAAGAATAACAACCAATTTGGCCTCAAACTCAAATCAGATCAAATTAGTAAACATATGGGTCATTTCCTTGATTTGAATTAGCATTAAGGGATGAGAAATGTTTACATCAAGTCAGCTTAAAACCCCTTTACATACATAAATGCTTGAATGATCTATATTCCTATAAAATGTCTGCCTTCAAGGCCTAATTACCAGAGATTTTACAAACACATTGTTCTGATATTAGATGCACTTGGAATGAGCTGAACAGGATTATAGTAGTAGATAAATCACATGGGTATGCAAACAAAGTATAATAAAGCTTATAGAATTCTACAGCAACAAAAAACAGCAAGCCCAGGACTCCAATATACAAATTAGATCTATGACTATTACCTACAGCAGACATTTAAATGGAACACAAACAAATGGGAAGAAAATGTGGTGTTAAGTTAATATACAGTACAAGCAGAATGCAATCCCAAACACATTAAGTGGAGAGAACTGGATCAGCTGCTACATAGGTTACACTGGATACAATCTCTCCACAAGAGTAAAAATGAACTTGAGTATGATGTTAGAAAAGAAAACTACAACATGGTTTTGGCGGTGCTATCCTCAATACCAAAAATACTCTACATTTTGACAAGGCAAAACTGCTACACACTGGCAAACATCCACGGGAAACAAAAAATAATTCAAAAAATTACCATCTACAAGAATGCTAAGAACCATCAATGCATCAACCACAAGGATGTTTGTTAACTGTCTATCAACAGATGGAAATATCTAGTGTAATAATGTTCAACCTTAATACCAAAATGCTATCCCTAAACCATATAATCCTGTATCTGTATTAGATAACCATTGATATTCATGCATTAATTCTGTATTTTTGTATGTTTCCTATAATCATTTTATTTATTTTGGAATTTATACAGTTACTTAAAAATTTAACATATATTTGATGCATATTCAAATTAAAAAATTTGAACATATATTCAACATATATAAAAGTAATTTTCTATATTTCCAATAATCTATTTAATATGTATGCAATCCTGAAGATGGCTGCAAACAAAAGTCAAAAGTCTAGAAAGAATAAACAATATACTGGTCAAGGTTTGTGTAATATCTTAAATTTAGTGTTTTATCATATAATTTAAAAAGTTATTATGTTCAACAAGTATGTCTAATTTAAAAGTAGACTATGTTTGTTGTATCTTTTAATGCATCAAAATCCAGTTTGTTTAAGAATTTACTGTCTATTTAATTGTATCCAAAGTACCCTCAGTCTATATTACTACAAACAATCAAGACACTAGGTACTTTGTCTTGATTATTTGAAAACTTCTATGAAAAGACATAATGCAGTCACATAATGATGATTTAGTTTAGTTTTTAGTTGCTTATGATAACATGAATACTGAAATATTTTATAAGATGTGTAAATGAAAAAAATAATAATATACAATCAGAATCTTATTGTAATGTATATCTCTTAAAAAATATTTCAATTCTCAATAATCAAACACAATGTATGAACAAGCATAATAAGTAATTGATTATAAATTATTCGAAAGTTATAAACATTAATATAATGATATATGTCTGATGTATTATTTCAAAATTAATTTCCGTATTTACTCACATATAAGACAAAATTTTTATTTATTTTTCACTGCTTTCAAAAACCTAGGTTGTCCTATACATGCGAGCAAGGGGTTTGCATTTTTTTCAAAAGTTTTTATAAACAGTGTATTCGCATTTTTTCCAGATGCTTGTCCTCTGGTGTTTAAAAAACAAAACTATTTTATCTGAGTTGTTCACATTGTTCTTGTGTATTATCAGAAGTAAAGATAAATAGCAATAGGAAAAGCAAAGCTTTTGAATTGAATTCCAAATTGAAATGTCAAAATCACANTTTGCTTCTGAAAGTACCGATCCATCGTTACTTCTGTCGTTAAGCAAAACTACGAGGGTAACAATTCGTCATTGCCCTAGTAAAAATCGATTTTTATAAAATTAATCAACAGCAGATGTCAGCACTTGACAGCACCATCTTGTCTATCATCTGTTTTGTATATTTTTCTCCAGGTGGCATTTTGTTGACTTAAAAAATTTTAATTAATGCTTTTTTTTTTCTTGATTTATTTATTTTCTGATAATTTTTTTTCATTTATAGCATATTTATGAAATAATATCACTATAATAAGTTCATTTATGCTATAATAAGTTTATTTAGCTATAGTAAGTCAACGTGTTATAAATACTGAAGTTATGCCGTTCAGTTCTGACATTTTATTTTTTTTTTATTGTTGATTTTTTAAAATAAATATAATAAATTACCTGACAAAGCAATTCTAATGCACCATCTGTTAACTGAGAACAATTGTTCAGATGCAAAGAAGAAAGATGGGAACATTTCGTTGCAATTTTGCTAAATCCTACTGGACTAAGCTGTAACAAATTACAAATATTTATTTTTGAAATAAATGTTTTGCATTTAAACATATTTGCATTTATTCATAAACTGAAAAATTTCTAAAAATTACTTACTTTACTACATCCATTGAGAATAACAGTTTGAATTTTTGATCCCGCCATATGAAAACACTGAANTATGCATATAAAGACCAGCAATGTTTAATACTCTATATTTTTTTAATTTTATTATTATTATACTTTATGATAATAGTGTGAGGTTCTAGATCAAAGAATTCTCACAGCTCATTTTTAAATCTCTTATTAACCCTTTGCTTCCGAAAGTATTGATCGATCGTTACCCCTCATTGTTAAGCAAAACTTCGAGAGTAACAATTCATCGTTACTCTAATAAAAATCAATTTTTATAAAATTTATCGACAACAAATGTCAGCACTTGACAGCACCGTTTTGTCTATTGTCTGTTTTACATATTTTTCTCCAGGCGGTGTTTTGTTGACTTAAAAAATTTTAATTAATGCTTTTTTTTTCTTGATTTATTTTTTCTTCTGATAATTTTTTATTTCATTTTTGCATATTCATGAAATAATATCACTATAATAAGTTAATTTATGCTATAATAAGTCAACGTGTTATAAGTACAGTAATACCCCGAACTTACGCGATAGGTGGGACCGAGCGATAACTGCATAAGTCGAATTTGCGTAAGTTGGGGTATAATTTTGTAATTTGTGTAAAATCCAAGTCGGATGTATGTAAGCTAATAAATGTTCTCGTTAATCTTATCTCATCTTTTAATTTGTTCACGGTTACAAGAAATCACCACATAGAGTCTCTCAAGTCTCCGTAGCTATAACAAACACAGAAATAAATAACATAAAATAAATTGTAGCTATGTGGCGATTTCGCGCGACATGTCCGAACATGTAAGTTGAACAATAGTGTGGGAGAGTGAGTAATCAAGAGTTGTGTGGTGCTCAAACAAAAGACGAATTGACGAGATTTGAAAATTGCGTAACTCAGCGTTCGCATAAGTCGGGGTAGCGCAAGTCGAGGTATTACTGTACTCAAGTTACGCTGTTCAGTTCTGACATTTTATTTTTTTTTATTGGCAATTTTTTTTTAAAACAATGAAGGTCCTAAGATCAGGTAGATTTCTTGTAGTTATGTCCTTAAGTATGTGTGTATAATTTGTAATAATTTCACTGTTTGTGCATAAACTTTAATATAATAGTAATAATAATAATAATAATAATTGTAAAATCTCATATATTAAATTTTACTTTGACTAAATAATATTCTAACTCAGGGAAAAATTTTACAAATTTCTTATGAAGAATTTTGCTCTTACATACATTAAAATTGAAAGTAAAATCAAAATTAAAATAAGATAGTTTAACCATTTTTTGTATATTATATACAATCACAAAAACTGTTAAGTATTGATATAAATAAATATAATATTACCTGTCCAGTCAATCTAATGTTTTCTGTAACATCAAGATATTCTAAACTTTTGCATAGGTGAAGTAACCACCAGATACTGAAATGAATCATTATTAAAATAAAGAGTTTTAAAATATGTTTAAGCTATTTAACAATTTAACAATAAAGTTTAGAGTTTTTTAAAGTTTTACTTATTTTAATAAGTTAAATTCTATGTTATTAAATAAAAGACAAAAATAATAATAATTTCCTACCCATTTTCTCCTATTTCTAGACATTTTTGAAGAATAACTTTCTGAAATTAACATAATATTTAATGATGTAAAAACAAAAATAAATCCATTCTAAGAAATATTTGTGTGTGTGTATATATATATATATATGTTACTGTGAATGACCGATATCTCGTGAATGTCAACATTCTCCAATGAATGTCAGCATTCACACAGTTGTTTCGTGTATGTATGAAATATTTGCTAAATATCATTATTTCTCACTTACACCGGCAAATGTCGACATTCAGCATGCACTGATGGCAAATGTTGAAGAAAAATATCTTTATTACATTAAGACAAAAATGCAACTTTTTAATATGTCAAAATAGGAGAAAGCTTAAGTAACACACATGTAAATAAACTGTTGAACCTGAAACAAACAGTACATTCTAAATCATTAAAGAAAATAATACAATAATAAACTTACACATAAATTATGTGATTAATGTTATACAATCTTATTTATTGCAACAACTTAAACAGTTATGGCACTTTGAATTGCTCAAGAGTCCCTTGATTTACAGCTGCATTTATTTGTGGAACACTTCTTTTTGCAATAACAGCGTGTATAGCCTTGCCCTGCACTTTTTGAATTAGCTGCAGCTGCTTCTCTTAGCGATATTTATTGAGAAGAAATCTCATCTATGTACGAACTGATTATGTTATTACATGATTATGAACTGATCTGTTAATAGTGTCTTTTATTCGGATATCGCTGACGCCTTACCGACAACCCCTCTCATCCTCTGCCACTTGACGTGACGTGACAAACCAATTCCCACCTCACAGGATCAAAAGAACAAAAACACCATCCAGTGACAAAGTGGTTGCCAGCAAACCATTGCCGGAAAAAGAGGTACGACCTTGTCCTACCTCCAGCTACCCACAAAAGATTTGGCGACAGACTGTCACCTCTCTGTTGACATCGGCTTCTCGGGTGTCGTTTCGACCTCCACCAAAGCTTATCTATACTTGTCGACATACACCGACAATTGTTTGAATGTATAATAATATAACTAAATATTCAGTCTTTCACCAACGTATTTTGTATATGTCGACATTCTCTAATTTCGGTCTTCCACAGTAAAATATATATATATATATATCTATATATTTTTTTTGTTTTGAATTGTATTTGTATATGTTTACATATATATATGTAAACATATATAAATATTGGGTTGAACTGAAAGTTTGTTCGGTTTTCAGAAAGAAATAAAATATACTATTTTGAAATAAATAAAAATTTTTAATCCACTATGTATTCACCTTTCTGTTCGATAACCTTACGCCACCTGATGGGTAGTTTCATAATTCCATTTATGTAGAATTGGGTGGGTTTCTGATTGAAGAAATTATTGATGTGAGTTCTGATACTTTCTAAAGATTGAAATTCTATGGCATTTAAATTATTCTGCAATGAACAAAAAAGATGATAGTCTGAGGGAGTAATATCTGGAGAATATGCAGGGTGAACTCAAAACATCTCAGTTAAATTCTAGAAGTTTTTTGGTGACATTTAACAATATGTGCAATCTTGAATTATTATGATGGAATACCACTCCCTGTCAATTTGCAAGTTCCAGATGTTTTTGATCCACTGCAGCCTTTAGTTCATCCAGTTGGAGACAATATTTATTGGACTTAATTGTTTGGTTGTTGGGTAAAGCTCGTAATAAAGAACACCTTTCCAGTCCCACCAAACTGAAATCATTACTTTTCTGGGATGCAAACCAGCTTTAGGTTGTGGCACTGGAGGATCACCTGGCTTATTCCAAAATCTCTTGCATTGAATATTGTTGTAAACAATCCATTTTTCATCACCTGTTATTAATTGCTTTAAAAAGAGATTGTCTTCATTGCGTTTTAAAAGCGAATCACATACAGAAACACATTCAATAAGGTTTCATTCATTTAAATGATGGGGAACCCAAACATCATAATGGGAAGTGTATCCAAAGATAACCAAATGTCTGACAACAGATGTTTGGAATATTTTTAAGATGTCGGCTATCTCTTGTGTTGTTTATGCTGATCATTTTGAATTAAAGCCATTACGGACTCATCTTCTATGGCTGAAGACCGTCCTGACCGAGGTGCATCTTTAAGAGAAAAATCTCCCTCCCTGAATTTTGAAAACCATTTCTGGCATGTTTGATCAGATACTGCAGCCTCCCGATATTCAGCACATATCTTTTTTTTTTTTTTTTTTTTTGTTTTTTTCACATTTTTTTCTTTTCAGAAATAATAGCAAGGTTGCGGCCAAAGTTTTCATCTCTAAAACACGAATATCAAACACCGATATCTTGTAAACGGCACTTGATGTTTGACGTTCACATTTTAGAGATGAAAACTTCGGCTGCAACCTCGCTAATAGAGCATGAGATGTCAAAAATGCACCTTCTTATCTTCTATTTTAATGTTATTTTTTCTTAAAAGACAACAAAATTTTTAAAAATAGCTGTAATTAAACTTACGTAATAAATATGCAAATATTTGTAATGTCAACCTAAACAAGTTAAAACTTGATAAGTATGACAGAGGCACCACAGACAAGCGCTTATGTAAATACCCAAACAAACTTTCGGTTCAATCCAATACATAGAAGTAAAGTATTAAACATTACAATATTTACTCTAGTAATTATATTTAATTCAAAGACTACTTCATAGCACTAATTAAAACATAAAACTTCTACATTTTTAAGCTAAAATTTATAAAAACAGATTAGGAGATTATTTATATCAATTAATTTAATTAAGATATCTAATTTAAATAAAGAAAATATCAAATATGGAACAGGTAAAAATAATAGTTAAATAATTTCAAATGAAGTCATATTTTTTTGTAAATATATAATACCATAGTTTTAATAAATTCATGCTTTACAGAAGAGTTAAAATGAATTTAATTACAAAAACAAAAGTTTTATAACATTAATTATTTTACATTTAATATTGTAAATTTAGAAATATATTATGTTTAATTTATTTTCTTAATTTTTCATAAATAAAATATGACTAAATTTTTTAAGATAGTATTATCATTTAACATATATTTTATGTAACAGTAAATTATTTAAACAAACAGATGTTATTTTTTAACAACAAGATAAAAATTAAGTAAAATACAGTAGAATATAAGTAGATAAAAAAAAAACTTTAAACAGAAAATATTTTTTAACTGTATAAAGCTAAGGTTCTGTGTAAATATACCATCATCTTACTTTTAAATTTGGACATTTTTTTGCCAATTGATGAATTGAAACATTTGTAGCCTTCACACCAGACATATTAATAACTTCTAAATTAGGGCAGAACTGAGCTGTAAAAAAATGTAAACAATATTATTACAAAAATTTTTATATTTATTTGAAAACAACAAATAATTTTTATAATCATATAAATTTTTGTATAGTTTTTTTTTTTTAACTAACTAAATGAACAAAGGTAATTTTTTCATTGTCTGATTTGCTGGCAATGCCAAAGCTTTCCCCATTTTATTGGCCATTTCATCCATTGTTGCTTCTGTAGCATGTGTGTAACTATTCCTAACACATTGACAATCCCACCAAAGTGAAAGGTTGCAGCCAAAGTTTTCATCTCTAAAACATGAATATCGAACACCGATATCTTGTAAACGGCACTTGATGTTTGATGTTCACGTTTTAGAGATGAAAGCAACCTCGCTAATAGAGCATGAACATTACTTAACTATGAATGATTAATTCATTTGAAAAATGACAAACAAAATACAGCAGTATCACAGTATTCAAACAGTTCCCAATTCAAACAAATGTCATCTTCTAGAACATATTTTCGATTAATAACATATTTTTATTTTGTCATTCATAAAAAATTGTAATAAAAAAAATGAAGATGTTGCTGATATTTCTGGTCAAAATCAACAAAACAGATCAGAAAATGACAATACTTTGCATAAAGAAAACACCCTAGTTTAATTAAAATTAATATTAATGTGTAATACAGTAATTGTGATTGTTAATTATTGATTGGAAGTTAATTATTGATTGCTTTAATAAACATATTTCTCTTAGTAAAAAAAAAAAAAAACAAATGGTATACTTTTGTTTTTTTTTTTTTTTTTTACTAAGAGACTAAACTTTTGAAATCTAACCCCATGTTTTGCATTAGTCCTTTGTTTCATATAGCACAGATTTACATAATATGGCACTTTTTTGGAATGTAACTACCATGTTATATTAGGGATATCTGTAGTTTCATTCTAAAAAGGATTTAAGGGATTATTTAAAGGGTTTAGACATAGACATTCATTGTGTCCCATTTTTGTAGATATTTAAAAGATATTCTATGTATAAAAAAATTGAAATAAAAATTTTAAGATCTTTTAAATCCATCAAAAGCTCTTAATCTTATATTTCCAATGTCCTTCAATTGCATATTAAACAAGAAATTATAAACAATCCCAATACTTTTAATTTATACAAATTTTCTATTAACATGATTTTAAGAATGATTGTATTACAATTTTGTATTTAAATATAAATATTTTCTAAAATTAAATCATAGTCATTTTTAATAAATAACATATAAATTAAGATAAAACAGAACAAAAAATTTTTAACAAACTAGACATAATAAATGACAATAGTCTAGTATATCAGTAAAATGAACAATTGACATGTTTATTTTATATCTTATATTTTGTTTTTATATCAATACCAAAAAAATTTTATTATTAAGGATATTTTTAAAAATGATAACAGAGTGATATATATACAAACCTATGATTTCCAGAGCACGATAATCTAAAACATGAGATGCCGAGTATAAATCTAAAATTTTTAAATGAGAGGAACATTTCTTCAAAAGTGAACTAAGAATAGCATTGGTTAAAACTGAAAATAAAATAATATTAAATATTATTTTATAATATTAACATATTTTAATAATTGTAAATTAAGGATTATACAAAAAGTTATATTTTATACTAATTAACATGATTACAATTAATATATGATTACAATTTAAAATTTAGATATTAAATGGATGTTTTTAAAATTTTTTAATTGAATGATTTTTTAAATAATATTTTAATAATTTCTATTGATTCAAGATTTTTTGTATATATTTACGTGTCATTTTAATTTTTTAATATTAAATTATACAAAATCTTAATTTTCAAATTGTGATATTTGTGCCTCTGGTATTACTTGGACATATACATAGTAAAATCCAAAAGTTCAGGAACTTGGCATTTAGTTCCTTGCATCTTGAATAGTTTAAAACATTGATGCACAATCAACTTCAAACTATTCCCCTTGGGCAACAATAGACTTTTTCCAATACTTGTACAGCTTCTGGAAGCATTGCTTTAAGCCATCTTTTGCATCCATCTGTAATGCCTCCTGCAATGCTGCTTTTACTTCATTGACATCAAAATGATTTCAGGCCATTTATGACGAATGGACTCACATATTATGTCCAGATATGTGGCATTTGGATGAGCCCATCCATCATAAATAGCCTGAGATGATTTGAATCATCAAATGAGGTAAAATCAGCATTGCATGAGACATTACAGCAAAAGATGGCTTACAGCATTGCTTCCAGAAGGTGTATGAATACTGTAAAAAGTGTATCGTTGCCCAAGGAAATTAGTTTGAAGATGATTGTGTGGTAATATTTTAAACTATAAAGTCATTAAGTTAAAAATGTTAGATTTCAAGGGCACCATAAGATGGGACTATCAGTTTCATTACAGATGGTGCTATTAATCAGTGAAAATGGGATCAATTTCATTTTCTTAAATGGAAATCGCAGTTTTCTTTTTTGCATACTCTGATTCTACATAAAAAATATACAAACTTTTATTTATAATATTTTTTTTAAAGATGCACTGATCAGAAGTTATGGGCATTTAAAGTTTTACGTGACTACTGTATCCTGCATGTGTGAATCTGCGAATATCTGCAGGGGGAAAAAAAGCTGTTAGCAGGCTATTATTATTTGGTGAAATCAAGACCAATGTCTTCTCTTTATGATAAACTTGATGGCTTTAACATGCTGTGGCACGTTTTTGTATCAGTTCATTATTTGAAGAAAAAGAATGAGTCCATCAAATAATAATGGCTTCCTAACAACTTTTTAGCATTTTCTTTCCTTTTTTAGTAAAATTTACAGACATTCACAGATTCACTTGAACATAATATGACAACCATGTGAGACTTCAAATATTCATACTGTGTTTTCACAGATTGTCTGGCATGTCAGACTATATGAGGGAAACCACAAAATCAAATATTTCCGTACAGCAAAAGCCGGTTTATCCCAGGGAATGCTGGCACATTGGTTTAAGTGAGATTATACAGCCCTCTTGAGGGTGCGTGAAAAAAAAAACAAAACAAGTTTATTTTTATATACATATTTATATTATATGTTGCATGGCACATCAGACACCAGTTTTTATTCTACATTTATGAAACCATCAAAAACTATGTTTAATTTCTGTATTTTGTCTACTTTCTAAAGATGTAAAATACTCATGGAATGCCAAAAGTGTTTTTATTATGTTTATTTTATTGTAATTTGTTTCAAAAAAGCAAAAAATAAACACATCAAATTTCACAAACTTGCTGTAAATTATCTCAACTTACACCAATTAAAATCCAGTTTGTTTGAAATTTGAAAGTGTTATCTTTCAAGGTCAGGGTAGATTGTTAGTGCAGCCCTGCACTGACTAACTACTTCTACTATTACTACTGTTAATAAGCCACTAATTTTAAAAATAAAACTGAAAATAAAATCTGTTTAAAAATTAAAAACAAAACACCATTTATTCACTTTCAATGTTCCGGAATACAAACTTTTGCCGACTGACCTTTCTCTGTAAGCTACTTGACCATCAAAATTAAAATTTCTTTAAAAACACAGTTTAAAAATCAAAACTGGCAATGCCACATGCAAAGACATCATTTTTCCTTCCATCCTTACCACTTGGGTATGGTAGAGCTTTATATCTACTAGAAATAGGCACTGGTACATGTAGATTTTTAGATGTCCTCGATGATGAATCAATGCAAAACAATTTCAATTGTAGAATTCTGTCAAAAGCCACTAATTGTTTTATTGCCCTGTAAATGAAAAAATGGAAACTCTCTTCTTGGTTTAACTGGCATGCTGGTCTTCTCCGGTTATATCTGGCATACCAGTCAATCTGTGAAAATACGGTAACTTCTAATTAGTGCATCTTTCAAATGTTTTAAATAAAAGTCTGTTTATTTTTATGTGGAATCAGAATATGCAATAAAAAATAGGGATTCCCATTTAAGAAAATAAAGTTGACTCCATTTTCACTGACTGTAGTGTAATGATAACCCCATCTTGTGGCCCCTTGAAATATATTATTTTTGGGTTTAGTGAGTTTTTGAAGGATGCATATTTTTCAAGTTATTCCACTGGATTGATTAAAATGGTCCACCCTGTATACATATATGTATATAAATGTACACTAAACAATATACTGCATTTTAAGTTAAAATTATGCCTGGCAAAACAGACTGTTCACTAGCTTTTTCATTTAAGCTGGATTAGACAAATATATCATTATAGATGTTTAAGGAATGATCTACAAATTATGCATTTTTAATACATTTTTATCATATTATTTTGACCCAAATTCTATTTCTGATTAAAGTGTTCATCATCAGAATTAATCATTTAAATGTCATTAGTTTTTAATACAATCCAGCATATTGGTAGTTATTCAGAATACTTATGTAGCTTCAGATTTTGGAAGGGTATTTGCAGGAAGTTTGTAAAATTCTGACATAAAATAATGAAATAATAAAAATTATTTTGAGAAAATCAGTTAGAAATTTATATCTAATTTTAAAATAATTTTGAAAAAATGTATTTAGCAATTTTTTCTGATCATAATTCATTTCAAATTGACATGACTGAAAATAGAATAGCTAAAATTTGATTTAACAATCTGAAAAAAATGCAAAAAACTTATCTAATTCAATTTTTAAGCTAAATACTCAATTATATTAATTATAATAAAACTGATTACTATACACAATCTAATAATTATTACATAAATATTTAGATTTCAAATTGTTAATTGTGTATGTTATTAAAAATGAAATACTTACAAGAACCTTTAAATATAGAAAACATATTTTTAAAATGTAGTTCATGCTGAGAATGCCACATTTTCAGACAGACACTTTTCCATCTTTTACATACTGAAATAAAAAAATAGTTTAAATTAATATTTTATTCTAATATTTTTTTACAAGAATATTAAATAAAATAAAATACCATAACATATATAATAACCTGATTCAATTAATATTGCTGAACAATCTGTTAGATTATTTGGCAAAATAAAACTTTTTATCAAAAAAATAATAGTAGTTTTTTTAATAATTGACATCTGATAAAATACGGACACCATTCCAACTCAACCACAAAACATTTCCAAGCAACCAAGTCATATTCAAATTACTGGTGTTAAATTTTAAGCACAATTTATCTAATTTTTAATGAGAATTTGTATGAAAAGAACTATTCAGTAACTGACTCTTTACTGAGAAGTCATAATGTCTGATAAAGTGCATTTTTGATTGATTATGTTTTAAGAGTTTAAGAGGTGTAAAAATGAAACAACTTAACTGAAAAATATTTGCAATGTGTTTGAAAATAATGTGGTAGTGAAACAAACGTACAAACTGTAGTTTAAAAATTTCATTTTGTTAATTTTGACTTGTGATAAACCTGATTCTGGAAAAACTACTGGTGGCTAATGACAATTTTTTAAAACCAAACAGTAACAGAAAATCTATTGATAACATCCCAAAAACTAGCAGAAAGAAATGAATGAATGTTGATTTGAATTTGAAATTTAAAAAGTGAAATTACTTTCCTTCCAACCCAATAATTACTGAATTAGTTCCAAATTATATAACTAGAAAGCTCTAAACAAATTAGTTATCATCATGCTATTTCAATGTCTAATAATAGTCAAATGAGAGTATAGCAACAGCTTGTTATTATGATTATTGATTAATCAAGTTATTGAATGTTGTTTTATACATATATTATGTATTAATTATAATACCTCTTTCAATTTTAACTCTCTCTTTAAGTTCTAAATAGGAAAATATTATAATTAACACATCATCATTGAAGTCATTGATGTGTTCAATTTTGCTGCCAATATTTCCACTCATGCTTGTTGATTCCGATGTATCATCATCTTCGGTATCATACTAGAAACAATTTAAAAGTTTAAAATATATCTACTTATAGAGTTAAATTAATATTCTAAATCTATAGTTATAATTAACAAATACTACCTGATCTTGATCAAATAAACTTTGTGCCTCATTTTGTAATCTTGTTGTTCTCTTTTCATCTGCAGGAAAAATCCTAAGCCTTCTACAAAAAATTAAAAATAATAATAATCAAATTTAATTAGAAACATGTACTGTCTTAACCATGTACTGTAATCAATTTTGTTTGATATTTAAAACAACTTTACATGGTAAACTACATATAGTCTTTATACATGAATGTTTAATACCAATGAATAAATTAAACCTACTTTTATAAAAGTATAACGAAAAACATTTTCTAGTTAAAGGCAATCTTAACCATTGTTGTATCTCTCTTTCCAGAAAAAGGATTGCTATATAAAGAAGTTTAAATGGTATTTATTCTTACCTTTTATAAAAAAACTTATCCAGATTATGTATTAGCATCATATAAACATCTTTATATATTACAATTCCAATTTAAATCTTTTATGACAAAAGGAATCTTAAAATTGAGAACATTTCATCAATGTTAAGATAAATATTAACAGTTTAAAACAAACTTCTTTCATAACCAGTTAAACTGAATATTTTTACACAAAGTACAAAATATAATACAGATTTAATATGCAGGAATAACTAGTATGTTTTTTTAATTTAAAAATTTAGTATGTGTAGCATTTTGTAATAAATAATGTTTACAGCAAGGTATTCTAGAACATCATTTGTCATAGCATCTATTTGTTCTAGCATACATTGAAATATACATATTTAAGGGTAATCGATTTAAAGCCTAGAGCTAAGTTACCATCTAACAAAACCATTTAAACAGGAAAAACATAATACAAAATAAAAAATATAAATGTTAAAATAATAGCATACCTTACTGTGTTTATATGTTGATATTATTGAGAGAAAAGAATTACATTTTCTGGGGAAATATAATTATAAAAAAACATCTCAACACCACTACTTCCAGTGGTGATATTCAGCGAGTTCCCACCAGGTTCGGTCGAACCCGTTGTTAACATTTTCAAAGTTTTCCGAACCTTGTTAAACACATGTAACATTTCTCAATGGTTTTGATTCTTTTAAAAAATATATTAAAATATACATATTATACTCTGTAACACTACTAAACTAGAGCCTTCTGGTGCACCATTTGAGCGAAAAAAAATTGTTAAGGAAAAATTTTCTGTTAGCGAACCCTTTGTTAAATATTTCGAATATCACCACTGACTACTTCAATATAACATAGGTGTTTTGAAGTGTTGAGATATCTAGATACAATGATATTAGATGGAATACAGTAATAATTTCATCGACAGAAATGCTCTGAATATGTAGACCATTTATTTATTTAGTACCCTTCAAAATTTGAAGTATTACTGTATATAAATATATTACTTTTTAATCAACAACAATAAATTTCGAATTAATTTTAAATTCACTATCTACGTGAAGAGCCCAGACTGGGTAAACCAATTAGTTAAATTAGTGTTAAATAATAACTTTTTTGGATTTCAAGGTAGATATTATCGACAACCGGAAGGTATTCCAATGGGATCCTGCATAGGTCCTAGATTTGAGGAGTTGTGTATGATCATAATTGATAAAGAAATCAATAAAGCCCAAGGTATAATAAGTTACCAAAGATATGTAGATGGCTCTTTCATCGTCTATGATAAAAGCATACTAGATATTGACTCTTTCGTTTATGAAATTAATTTAATAAATAAAAATGTTCAATTCCAATGTGAAAAAGAAGTAGATAATAGACTGAATTACTTAGATCTTACTATAGTTAGATTAAATAGTAAATTATTATTTAAAAAGTATGTTAAAGATTGTGCTACCAGTAAAGTTATACACTTCAAATCTAATATGTCTTTATATATAAAAAAGAACATTTTCAGGTGTATATCAACAAAATGAAAGAGAGAACAACCTTGCAATATGATCAAGACATGGAAATAAAAAATATAATAAGAATTTTAGCTTACATAATTACCCTAAAACATTATTGTTTAAGTGATTAGAAACAAGTAAAAGGAAAAGAAAAAATGTCACATTAAATAGACAACCAAAAGTTGTTAAGACTTTGTGTCTTAAAATAGAATATGTTTTCAGTGTTTTTGAAAAATTAAAAAATGAATTTAAAAAATTAGATATTACAGTCGACCCCTATAACACGGTAGATATGTTCCACTTTATAATAATTTCACGTTGTAGGATTCCTTAAATACATGACCCAATCACAGCCCAGCATGTGTGCAGTTTATGGACTACAGCTGTTTGAAAAGTTTTCTTCCATAAAATTAATCGATTCTAGACTAATTTGAGTCAACATTTCCAAAACACGTATAATTTTTTAAGGAATAATCCATATAAACTACACTATAAACAAAAATTGTAGGCTTACTTACTGAGTGTGTACCGTTCGATGACGCCATTGCTTAAGCTTGTTTTCATCGCGGAGCAGCACACCAAATGGTGGGCGCATTTTCTGATAAGTTATTATTCTGCAAAAAATTTGTTGAACTTTGGAGACATCATTAATAAAAATAATTTTATGGCCATTGAATAAGAAATGTTTTTTCACAAGAAATGTATAAAATTACAGTACTGTATTAAACTTACAGTACTTAATTTATATACTGTACAGATGATAGTGAACTCAACTTATCCGCCTAAACTCTCCGTAGCGTGTAAGTAGTTCAGCTGCTCGTCCACTATTGGTCCAGATTCGACCAATCCTGTCGCGACACGAGTCAGCAATGACGTATTACTGCATTTTACGGGTCTCTTTTAGCATCTTTATACAAATACAGTTGCAATTTTTTCGCCACGATATATGAATCCTCTTTTTATGAACCCGCGTTATAGGGGGGTTGACTGTATTTTAGTACCAAACCATACAAACACCATAGCAAAAATGATTAACAGTAAATATGAAAGTAACACACATAATGATTTAGAAAAAGATAATGTAGTTTATTCATTAGATTGCAGTTGTTCACATAAAAAAAGATACATTGGTGAAACCAGAAGAAAATTAAAGACAAAGATTAAAGAACATTAAAAACAATTTGATATCATCATCAGTGGCACAACATTGCAATACCAAAGGTTATGAAATTTTAAAGGATAGTATCAAGAGTATTCTGACAGAAAACAATCAATTAAAAAGAAGACTACAAGAACACCTAGAAATTCTGAAAATACAGGAAGACATTAGAATTAATAACAACATGGGACTGAAGCTATATGAGGGGTGGTTTGACATCATTTTTACATAACCTTGAAACAGATGTGGGAGTCTAGTCACATCACATTGTAAAATGAATTGTAACAAGGCAGCTGACTTCACACAGTCTTACGGATCAGGTGTATTTGTTTTTGTTTAAAGTCTGGAAACCAATCATTTTAATAATAGTAAGTTCATTGTTAGTTTCCCTCCCTTTTGGTTTTTAATATAATTAACAATATTTATTATTAATAGTGGAACCGTCTACCATAATTTGGAAAATGTAGGAGAAAATAAGACATTTACTGGTCTGAAATAATATGATATATCACATTGTCATTGTATTAAAAATTTTATGCTCGATAGTTTTAATTTTTTTAGTATATGGGTTACATTAAAAATTGTAAATATAGTGACCTGTATATATTAGATCTTCCTTTGTATTGGTTAACTATTGGTATTATAATTATTATGTTGTTGCCATGTGTTTGTAAGCTGATGAGGGGTCCTTGTACCCGAAATGCATCCTTACCTAAATTTGAAATGTGATTATTAAAGACTAACTTTTTTGTAAAAGTTCTGGTCCTTCTTTCTGTTGGCCTTGGTGTGATAAGCCCTCCAAATTGTTAAATCCTATTTATTAGGTTATCTAACTCTATCTAACAGAAAAAGTATTCCATATTTTGCCAGTTTACACAGAATAAAATGCTAAATTATACTTTCTATGAAATTTTGACTACTGGTTGCTATCAATGTTTCCTCTAATTTTTTTGTAGCTGAGCAGAACATGTACTTCTTTGAGCAAAAATATTTTTGCTGAGCAGATACACAGACAATCTTATTTTTTTCCTTTAAAAATTAAAATAATTAATTATAAAGTAAAGATTAAAATTCATTTTAAAACATACTTCCATACAAAATATTATCTTTTGTCAATGATTTAATGTATTTAATCAAAATATACATAGCAATAATCATGTCGCAGACAGAGTGACAAATCAGTAAACAACAATTGAAATCAGTGTGCATGCTCACCTGCGCAGCACATAAATTCTCGTGCACAACAACAATTTGAGCAGTGCGCAGTTGCACAGCCACACAGCTTACAGGAAACCTTGGTTGCTATTATAAGATATTAATTCAAAATAATAGAGTTCCAACACCAGTCAACTTTATTGAACCAATATCTTACCGATATATGTTGTGAACAAGTCGAGGAAGGCTTTGTTGACAAACTCCATGCATGCATTATGAGATTCACTCCAAAATATTTTTTAAAGACCATGAATACTCTAAAAATTTTTCCAATTGATACTAATCTTGCCATTACATTTCATTAACTTTTACATTGTATATCACATCTAAAAAAAATTCATTAAAAATTTTAATTAAACTAGAAAAAATACAATCCCTGGTCAAAAGTATGGAATATTGTTCACTTTTCAGTAAGTCATTCAAGTCAGCTTAGAGTTTTAAAAAAAACAGATACTAAATAATTAATTCTTTTTAACGAAATTTATTTGCAATCTTGTGCAAGTAACAACAGAAAAGAGATGAAAGCAATTATATAAAGAATTTAAAAAATAGCATTTGAGCACTTGAGCAACATTAGACAAAAATATGGAATATAGTAATTACAGAGACAAAGTATGGAATAAAGTAAATTAATTCTGCATGGGACCACTTTTGATCTTTATTACTTCTTTAATATGTCTTGGTAATTAAGTGACTAAGGCCGCGACTCCACTAGTGTAAAAACAAGCATAAAACCCTCATCATGAATACTTTTAATTATGTGACCTATTTGTGTTTGTACTTGGATTGCTGTGGAGTCTGGCTCTACTAGAGAAGTTTTTACTTCGACAGTTCTATATGTGATATATCGATATAAGGACAACGATTATTTGAGGGGCTGACCGGGGGTAGAGTCGGGATAGTACTCTTTACCAGTTATTCGGCATCTAGTTGTTAAACTAGTCCTCTGTTTGTCAAAAAAGGATGACTAAACTCTGAGTGTTGGAGGGACTTATGATTTGAGTGGGGAAAGGAATGTGAAGACGTGTGATTGTAAGATCTGGTCTCCTTACGTCAGGCTCCCGTCAATTACATGGGCTATCACGCGGTTACTTTTTATTATAAATACCTGTTGAATAAGTTGGAGTGCATAATGAATAAAATTGTTTATAAAACAACAAATTTAATATAACTAAACTAAAGAATGAATGTATTTATGAGTGATGTTTGGAGATGGTAAAGAATGAATACAAAGTAAAATACACAATTGAATCAAATTACAATAAATGGAGTTGCCAGTGTACATTTGGGACTTATCCCATAGGGAGATCAAACTATCTGACTTAAATCTAAATTTAACTTAATCGCTCAAAATCTAACACTTATGTGTGGAGAGAGTTTACATCAATCTAACAGATGTATACTACCTTCCAAATTTCCGTACGTATCTTGTATTTGAATGCTGTGTTCTCGTTCAGGATCTGGGAGACGTTTAGGAATCATAACTTCTACGAATGCACTATTACAATATGATTGACATCTATATGGCAGTCCTCTTATCTTGGAACGGACTTCACCGTAAGTTATATGGCAAGTACTTCTTTCGACGAACTGCCTATGGCATGTTCGTACCTCGTTGAACTGCCCTGAGTGGCGGGAAACTCTCCTTTTTATACGAGTCGACAGCAGCTTCTGATTCAACTTACTACTCATTGTAAGAAAGAAGGAAATGAACTTCCTATCAAAATCGAAAGTATTGACATCCATTGTTCGAAAAATTTGTTAAAGTTATAAAATATTTTCCAATTGAAATGAACACTAATTCCTTTTAAAAAATTACCTCCCTAAATCCAGATTCTCACAATTATATTCTGTGATTTTTTTTTATAGTATAATTACAAATGTAGTAAAAATAATATCTTTACTTTCATATATTAACTTTTTATTATCATATTATTAAGATACTATACTGCCCTTATACACTTAGCTTTTTTATTATATACTTATCTAAATTGAAGGATTTTCCTTTGGCCATCCATATCACTTGTTTTAGGCATCCATTATTTAATTGGGATACATCTTGTCATAGATACATGGATACTTTCAGATGTTCTTGATAAATATTTCCAGGTCTATTCCAGATCTTTTCTAAGTAGCCATGAGAGAATGTACATAAAAGCTCATTTTCCACCATTTTTGCACAATGTCACAATGACATAGACTCTATTAGTAAACTTCTGATTGATTGATGGTACTGTTTTATGGATGTATTCACGTCGAAAGTTGAACACTGCTCAACTCACTTTATGCTTGTTTTACAACCTGCTCCAGCATAAAATATCATGGTCACATGATTAAAAGTATTTATGGCAAGGGATTTTACACTCATTTTTATGCTAGTGGAGTACTTTTCACATAAGTTTGCAGATATTTTTGTCCAGCTGGTTCAAATAGCACTCTTCAATTTGGACAATGAAGCCAGTTTATTTTTTCAAACCAGTTTCTTCAAAACATTCCACAAATTCTCTATTGGATTTAAATTCAGGCTGTTTGGTGGCCAATCTAAATGTGAAATGTGTTTTTTAGGAGCCATTGACATACTGTTTTAGCATGGAGAGAAAATGCATTGTCATTTTGATAAAGTCAGATTCACCAAAGTCTTCCTTTGCTGTTTTTAGTACAAACTTGTCTAAAATTTCCAAGTAAATCAGAATTATATTTATACTATATTTATTAAGTGAACAATAGTGATAGTCCTGAAAAACAATGCACGAGTAAAAAAAAATAAATAAACCCATAAAAACCACTTTACAAGCAAGGCAAATGCCAGAAATAATAAACATAAATATAATTGAAAAGTGACATTAACAAAATGCTATAAAGCAAGGGGCAAAAATAATAATTTTTATAATAGAAAAATATTTAATAGTAAATTTACCTTGAGTCTAATTCAAAAAATTCTGGAGATGAATTTCTAACTTTTTCTGCATCTTCACCTTTTGCAAATGTTACAAATCCATAACTAGAAATATATAAACAATGATGATGTAATATGTAATATAATTTTTTAAATTACATTATTTAAACTTAACATTTTATAGATGTTTAAATAAATTAATAAATAAATGACATATTGCTTAAATAAATTATAAGTTTACTTACATCTTTAAAACATAAATTTACAGTAGACCCCCCTATAAAATGGGTTCATATAGTTTGGATTCTTATATGACAGCGAAAAAATTGAGACTGTATTCATATAAACACGCTAAAAGAGACTCGTATAATTCAGTAAAATGTCATTGCCGACTCGTGTCGCAACAGGATTGGTCGAATCTAGACCAATAAACCATTGAGTTTAAACAAGCAGCGGACCTACTAAAAACCATTTATTATTTAACGCCCATAAAAATTATATTTATATTAATGATGTCTCCAAAGTTCAGCAAATTTTTCGCAGAAAAATAATTTATCAGGAAACGCGCGCCCCCATTCGATGCGCCGTCCACGACGAAAACAAGCTTAAGCAATGGTATCGTCGAACGGTGCACACTCGGTAAGTAATCCTACAATNACCGTGTTTCCCCGAAAAAATAAGAGTGTCTTATATTAATTTTTGCTCTGAAAAATGCGCTAGGTCTTATTTTCAGGGAATGTCTTATTTTTTCCAGGAAGAAGAATTCACATTTATTATTGAACAAAAAAATTCCCAATTTGAACTTAGACGAGAGTGACGTATATCCGGTGTGTCGAACTGTCGCCTTTTTATAGCGTCAACATCGGACTCGCTGACCAATTAGTGCTTACTGAACCGTAGCACTATGCAAATGTCATGTGGTTTATCAACCTTCTTGGCCCCCGAAATGTTTGATAAAGAAAATATGGCCCGCGGACTATGATAAGTTGGACAGCGCTGGCATAGTTTATATGGATTATTCCCAAAAAATTATATGTATTTTGGAAATGTTGAGTCAAATTAGTCTAGAATTGATTAATTTTATGGAAGAAAACCTTTCAAACAGCTGTAGTCCGTAAACTGCATACGTGCCAGGCTGTGATTGGCTCATGTATTTAAGGACTCATAGAAAATGAATTTCATAGAAATTGGAACGTATCTACCGTTTTATAGGGGGATTGACTGTAATTTAATGCTTATTATATTAAAAAATTTAAATCTTAGGATGAAATTTAAATTCAGAAAACAATAACTATTAATTTCTTACACTTTACCACAAGACTAAAGATACTTCACTATAAAATAACAAAAAATAAGACATCAAAAGGATATCCAAATAACAAAAGAATTAAATTTTTGGTCTAACAAATGTCTATGTTCCTGCACTTATTGTTAATTCACTTTGTCTCTCTGACATTTCATCAGGATCAGATTTACATACACTGTGTGTTTTAAACTGAAATCCCGAGAAAGTCCATTCAAAAATTATTTTCAACAAAAAATCCATTTAAGGTGACCAAGCCATGACTTATCTAGTTTAAACTACGAGGGATGTTCAAAAAATATCGGACCTTTATTTTTCCTTCGTAAACCAATGATGCACAGGAGATCTCTTTCAGTGGAATTGTGGAGGGGACAGTTATGCACAGTCCTGAATTTTTTCCCGCCTGCAGGAAGCGTCAGTCGCTGGCAGTCGACCTATGAATGAGGAGGTGTAGTGAGTGCTCGCTGGATTCCACTAAGTTGGAAAATGACTGAACAATGTGAGCAGCAATATTGCATCAAATTTTGCCAAAAGCTTGGTGATACCCAAGCGGAAATCATTTGCAAGATTCAGCAGGCTTTCGGGGACAATCCTCGAGGCCAAAAAAAGTGCGGCAGGTCCACAGCAATGTCAAGGTCATGTTGACAGTTTTTTTTTACTCCCACAGGATGGTGTATCGTGAGTACGCACCACAAGGCAAAACTATCACAAAGGAATACTACCAGGAGGTCCTTCATCGTGTTTGTGACGCTGTGCAATGCAAACGACCGAATTTGTGGTCAACCAAAACTTGGCAGCTTCATCATGATAACACACCTGCCCATTCTGTGTATCTGATTCAGACTTTCGTCTCCAAACACAACATTCCTGTGGTCCGTCACGCTCTGTACTCTCCCGACATGGCTCCATGTGACTTTTGGCTATTTCCCAAGCTGAAAATGCCGCTAAAAGGAACCCGAGAAGACATCATGTGGAATGCGATGGACCGACTGATGGCCATTCCAAAAGATGCATTCCAGCAGTGTTTCCAGAAATGGCAGGAGCGCTGGGAGAAGTGTATACATTACCAAGGAGACTACTTTGAAGGGGATTAGAGTTTTGTACCTCAAAATCAATAAATGTATTTTTGCTGACCAAAGATCTGATACTTTTTGAACACCCCTTGTATGCATAAATTTTACACTGTTTCATAATTTAATAGCAATGATTTAATGTTTAGACAATCCTTTTTTTCACATATAGTAAGAAAGCAAAAGAGAGGATTTCTCATTCTTAATGAGTCAAAAATATAAAGTAAAGTATAATTTTCAAGAATAACTTGACTGTATTTGTATTAATCATCTGTCTGTTTTTGGCAGTCCAGCTTCAGCATTTCACATTGCTTTACGACATTCTCCACATCTGTGTTGCATTTTATAATCCTTTACATAAACAATATTAGTTTTATGTATATTAATAAATTATTTCAAATAATAAAATTTATTAAAAAATAATTTATAACAACAAACAAAATGTTGTAATTTAGATAATGCAGAACAAAACAATAATAATAAAATCTTTAGAAATAAACTTGTGGTGCTTAAATTAATTGACTTCTTGGACTAGGACTAATGGCATTCCAAGGCATCAAGGATCAAAATTTGATGCTGGGTTTGTTTTTTCGTGGAATAAGACAATGCAACACAAGGGAGATTCACCAAGAAAGGACTTCTACAGAAAACGTCCCTTATTTAGGTGTTCTACATGTAAAGAAAATCCTGAAAATTTCATCTGGCTGACCTTAAATAGTCACTTAAAATCACTTTTACTCTTTATAAATTTAAACTTGCAAATTATGCAGTCCTAAATGTATTTACTTTAATCCAGAAAATGATTTAGTCTAATCACATAGTGCTCTTTAACTTTCATGTTATCTCTGCTCATTAAAAAGTTACAATGTAACAACCTTAAAATGATTTTTGAGGTCAACAAAAGTCCCATACAATTCTCCATACATTACTTCCTGTGTAATTACACTAACAAAATTAATATATCTTCAGTACTTTTGGAATGTAAAGGATACAAAAGACTTTTGACTCACCCGTATGTAGTTAGTTTCAGGGTCATCTTGATAGGTGAGGCAATAGAATGACTGCCTCAGATAGAAAACTAAGAGGTGTGGCAAAATAAGCAGTCAATAATGTTTAGAAAGAAAAATAAATAAATAAAAATAATAAGCCAATTACAGTAAAGTCCTATAAATGTATTTTAAAGTAGTTTATAAATAGTTAATACAAGAGTATCAGTGCTAAAATGCCTATTCTGAAAGCAGAGACAGCAAAAAGTTTCATCTTAAGCATAAGTTATCATTGAGCCAGCAATGGTTTGTTTTATATTCAGTACAGTCGACCCCCCTATAAGATAGAGATATGTTCCATTCTTTAGGAATCCGATTTCTTACGAATCCTTCCAATCACAACCCGACACATATCAAGTTTACGGACTACGGCTGTTTGAAAGATTATCTTCCATAAAATTAATCGATTCTAGACTAATACGACTCAACATTTCCAAAATACGTATATATTTTTTGGGAATAATCCGTATAAACTACGCTATAAACAAAAAATTGTAGGATTACTTACCGAGTGTCACCATTCGACATTGCCATTGCTCAACATTGTTTTCGTCGCGGAACAGCTCAGCAAAGAGCGGCCGATTTCTAACAACTTATTTTTCTGTGAAAACTTCGTAGAACTTCGGAGACATCATTAATATAAATAATTTTAATCGCCGTTGAATAAGAAATGTTTCTTTCACAAGAAATGTATAAAATTACAGTACTGTATTAGACTTACGGTACCTAATTTACATACTGACAGACGATAGTTAGCGTAAAAATCTCCGTAGCGTGGCGCCACGCTAGACGGCGGAAATTATATATTTAATTATAACAAAGTTACAATAAGTTAATATATAATTATATATACAGTACCTAATTTATATATAATTAATATATAATTATATGTACAGTACCTAATTTATATATAATTTATATAATACTGTCCAGACGATAGAAATCTCTCCGTAGCGTGGCGCTACGGACGGCGGGAAAGTAGTTCGGCTGCCCGATGACGTTTGAGGTGTTTATAGGGAACTTTTACTATTTTTTACGGATACCGGTAGCAATTTTTTCGTAGTTTTATAGGAATCGTAATTATAGGGACCGTAATTATAGGGGGGTCGACTGTATGTCAAATTATACACACATTTCTTTAATACTGTGAAACTAATTATTTTATATGAAAAAAAGAAAAACTATTGAATCATTATTATGTAAACATAAATTATAGATTTTATAATTTTTCATTAAAAGAGATATCACGCTATTAAATTCTTATAAAAATTTAGATAAATACAGTGGGTGATCGGTTAACGAACATAATCCATTCCAAGACTTTGTTCGCTATCTGAATTGTTCCTTAACCAATTATTGATTTACCATAAGTTTTTATGGGAATTTGATTAATTCGTTCAGGAAACTCCAAAAAATAAAAAATATATACTTTCTTATTATGTTTATTTATATCTAATAATAAAAATACATATATACACAGTCTTGCACTTTTATTTGTCATGGTTTTTTCGTTTGAAATGGTTAAAGAATCTGTCTAATGTCGATTGCTTTTTCTCTCCTTCAGGATTATTCAGAAGTAATTAATAGCATTGTAATTGTAGAGATCTCCAAGCCTATTAACCTCAACCTAGTTTAGATTCCATTCTAAGACTGTTGTTCTGGCATCCTCCCACTTCTTCAAAAGATCTTTAATAGCAGATACTGGCATTAATCCTCTTTTTCAAAAGAAAACATATCTCGCCAAGTTTCTTGATGTTCTTCATTCAAGAGTTCTTGGCGTTCTTCTGTCATCAGGTCCGTTTCAGTTCCATTATGAGCTCTTCAATGTTCTTTATTTCTCAGATGTGATTTTTGTTACTCCTTAAGCTGCTTGAGTCTTCTTGATTATACAGTGTCTTTCTTAGATAAGATTGAACTGTGGCCTACCGTAGATGTATTCAAGCCATACTGTCCAGTGATATCAGACATCTTCTGCCCACTCTTTACCTTTGCTATTATATTCTCACCTTTCGAAAATAAAAACCACTCTCGTGAATACTATAAAAGAATTGTTTCTGTCAGAAAAATAAAAGGCTGGAATTACAAGGGAGAGTTTCAAAGTTTAGAGGAATACTATCCAATCAGTATATACTGGATTGAGCGTTGATGTCGTCGTCTCCCAGGCTCTGAAAAATTTCAGAATTGTTCCCTGAAGACAAGGGTAGACCAATTGGTGTTCATTATTTTACGTCCTTTCTTCTTGTGTTTGTTCTGTGAGGTTTTCGTTGTCCAAACATAAAAATCTTTCGTGAAAGTGTTTGTTATCCAATTTGTTCGTAGTCTGAACTGTTCGTTAACCGATCACCCAATGTATAATTAAAATAAATCTTTTAAAACTGTTTTTACTTTGCTGAATAAAATAATATATTTGTAATATTTTCTGAATGGAAAAAATTTCTGATAGCTGAAAAAATTTAATTAGGCATTTTTTAACTTTAGTCTATTTTTGATATTAGGCTTGAGAACAATGGCATTAAGGATACCAAAATATTTGTGTTTTGGGTATTTTTATAATTTTATAGATATCTATGTTATAATATATGTTAAAATTAAAATGCAAGTGACAAGAAGTCAAAGAATTTTCACATTCACTTTTGATGGATTAAACAAAATAAAATTTTAAAATAACAGATTCAGATTCTTCAAAAGTTAAATACAGTAAAATATAACAATAAGACAGCAATGGTGAATTATAATTTTATATGAAACATGAAAAAGTTCTTTTAAATTGTCTTAAACTGACTGAACTTTGATGACAACTTCACATTATCTGGAAAGTAAAGTTTCCAACATTTTTTACTATATGTTGTTATAAAAGCCAGAGTTAGTTGTTATAGTGAAATATAATACAGTAATACCCCTTACGCAATAGGTGGGACTGAGCAGTAACCGTGTAAGTCGAATTCACGTAAGTCGGGATATAATTTCGCATATAAATACATACAAATAATTTTTAATTGGGACCAGAGACTAAAGAAAACAATAATTAAAAAAAAAATGTCTAATAAAATCTTAGATAATACACATATGTATAACAAATTAGGCCTATATTATTTTACAATTTTTCACATTTACTTGATTATTACGCCATAATTTTAACATTGTTTCCATCTCAGTGATAATACTGTGAAGTTTACAAATGATGCTCGAATTTAAAGATTGAGCATTTTTCACAGCTTCGAGAATTTTTTCTTTGCCTTTTATAATTGTTCTGACCGACAATTCCGGTAGATCAAACTTCTTTGCCAATTCACAAATTTTCATTTTTGTATCGAA